GCAATTTTCACAGTGTCTGAGAGACCAGCACTCATGCTGCAGCAAGAGGAACCCACACAGCACTCTGTCTCTAAGCCCACGTGGCAACAGTGACCCCAGAATGAAACATGGGCACTTCTGCTTTGCTCTTCTGGAAGAAAAAAGTTCTAGAACTGGCAGCTCCATCCCACCACCGAACTTGTCTGAAGCCTCTGGTGTCCTCAGGACCCGCTGGGATCACCCAGGCGTATTGACTGGAGGCAGGAACCATGGCCATACCTGGATCTCACTCTGCTGAGCACCAGGCCAGGCCCAGAGGCCTGCCAGCACATACCATTCCAGGTAATGGAACGTGTGACCCAAGGTAATGGGCATCATAGACGGGGCACACATTTTATCATTTTATCATGCATGTGTAGTCCTGGGCAGGCGGGGCCTCCTGTCTGCACGAGGGGTCCCTATCAGGCCCTGCAACCAGCATCGGGCTCACTCCACTGCTTCTTACTTCAAATTTCAATTCATGGTACAGGCTCCCAGCCCCGCATGACACTCACCCCACCCCCGGGCGCAGGGGGCTCAGCTGGAAGAGACTCCCATGCTCTCAAATATGTTCTGCCCTTTTGGGACCTTGGTCTTGTTTCCAGTCCTTACTCCTCAGGGCTGTCTGTCTGGTCCTAAGCCTGCCCCCAGGATAGCCCCATGGCTGGCCCAGGGCTCTGTGCCCCGAAGACTCGGCTCTGGCTACCTTGTCCCTGGGCTCTGGCAGCAGGAAACTGGCCACCGGTCCCTGCGGTCAGCTAGAATGGGTCTTTCCCCCAGCAGTTCCCCAAAGTAGAATAAAGTCATCCACTCCGTTCCTCATGTCCTCATACATCCACCCAAAGAAGCATAGGAATGCAGAATCCTGTCATAGGGAAGAAGCATCAGCCATGGGCTTTCTCTCCATCCCAACACTGGCCTGCAGTCCCCTGACATCAGGACCCATAGGTATTAAGTACCCACTTCCTGCAGAAGGAACCCAAAGTCCTTGTGTGTGTGGGCATATGCATTTTAGATTCAATGGCACTATTTCTGCATTCTGAGGTTTATACATAAACTAGAGGCCCAGTGCACTGGTGGGGTCCCTCGGACTGGGCTGCACCCTCTCACAGTCTGGGACCCCTTAGGGGATGTCAGACTGCTGATTTTGGCCCAATTTCCACAGGCAAGGCCGAGGGACACCACTGGTGCACAAATCCGTGCACCAGGCCTTTAATATGCATATAATATCTTTGGTTAATCTCTTCCTACCCCTCTTCCCTGCTCCCCTCTGAGATACATCAGTCTGTTCCATGTTAATATGCCTGTGCCTTGAGTATCTGCCCCCTGGTGGTGGTCAGTGTGCATAATAGTTACTGGTGGAACAGTCAAAATGGTTGGACAGTCACTTAGGCATATATATATATATATATATATATATATATATATATACACACACACACACACATATACATACACACAGTCCTTGGGTTACATCTGACTTGACGTACACTGTTTCATGGTTATGTCACCATCTCCCATTTATTTATATAAAAAAAGTTCCATCATTTCGACTTATGTACATATGTGCTTTATGTTATTTTATTTTATTTATTTATTTTTATTTATTTATTACACAAGTAAAGATCAGGAATTGTTATCTTTCTTTTAAAATTTTTTTTACTGCTTCACTTAATTACTGCTTTGTAGTGCTCCATGTGAGTGTGGTAGGTGCTTATGTAGGTGGCTTCCAACTTATGGCGAAAATCAAGTTACATTGTACCATAGGAACGGATCTCCAACGTAACCCAAGGACCTACTGTACAGATATGGTTCCTGGGGACTAACCATATCTCTAAAGAGGAGTGGCGATGCACATTAGCAGGCCACACTCTTGGAGAGCTGCTCTATGTGCGGGAGAGGCAGCGAAGCTATCAGCTTGTGCTCTGGGCTCAGCAGACCAGCTCCAGGACTGTACTGGTTCTCAAGGCAACACAGGAGCTCCTTCAGGGGAGGGCCCACAAACCTCAGCTCAATGCCACCCTACCTGCCATCTCTTATCTACTTAGGCACTCCTACCCCAAATCTACCATATTACCTGTTTTAGTCTCTTCTCACCACCAATTACCATTTTCTGTTAATTTACATGTGCCCTCTAGATCTAAAGGGCCAGGAGGGTGAAAGTATTTTTTTAATGAAATGTCATTGTTGGAGGTGGCGCAGGTAAGCCTCGGGCAGCATCTCCAGGCCTTGGTGCCTCTGCTCGCTAGTGGTGAAGCAGGGAGGGCACCTCCCCAGACTCAGAACCTGCCTCTACCTCCCAGGGGCGCTCACTGGCCCCACCTCCCTGCCCACCCAACCAGAGCCTCCAATCAGCGTAATGCTGCTTTTTGTCTGAGGAGTCTGGGTTTGGGGTGGGATGAAGCCAGGTGTCACCCTCAGCTGGGAGTCTGTGAGGAGATACCCAGCCCTGACCCTTGGCTCCCAGCTACACCCCTGCCAGCCCCCACAAACACCCTGTCCACCATGCATCTCACTCTGGGTGTCTTGGTCTTTTATTTTTTTTGTAAGTGTCATTTGTATAACTAAATGCCCATGATAGTAGCGTCATACTAGAAAGAACAAAATAAAATAAGACAAAACAAAGCAAGCAAACAAAAAAAAGATAGACTGTGTCATTAAACCAAAAGTAGGGCAGTGGTTTCCCGTTTCTTTTGATGTAAAATTAAAATTCTTTCTCCTGACTTAAAGGCCCTACACAAGCCATGGACTCTCCCCCTCCTCCAACCATTGTAACCCCACCCCATCTCTGTGCTCCAACTGCTTGAGCCTTTGTTTCACTGGCTGGACACACCCAGCTGTTCCCACCTCAGGGCCTGAGGACCCCTAATCTGGAACACTCCATCCCTATCACCGCAGGGGTGCCCTCTGTTGTCCTGCAAACCTCAGCTCAAGTGTCACCCTACCCCCCATCTCTTATCTACATAGGCACTCCTACCCCAAATCTACCATATTACCTGTTTTATTCTCTTCTCACCACTAGTTACCATTTTCTGTTCTAGCTCTCCTAGCAGATAGCCTATCTGTCTTATGTCTCCCCACTTGTAGGAAATGTTCAAAGACCGCTTGCAAATGAAAGGTAGTTTAGCCTGGACAGGAGAATGCTGTCTTCAGGTATTTACAGATGTGCTGTGAGAAGGAAGAGTAGTATTATTTGGTTTCCCCAGTGGATATAGACTGTGGACTGGGAGGCAGACTCAGCTCCCTGAAAAAGAACTAGCAAACAGGGGTGCTCACACGTGGTGGTGGGTGTGATCTGCCTAGGCAGGTGAACTTCCTGCTGCTGGAGGCATTCAAGCAGAAACTGGGCACCCTTGGCAGGGCTATTGCAATGCTCTGGACCAGGCTCTGCACCGGGCAGGGCCTAGGATTGAGGGTACCATCAAGTCCTCAATTGTAAGAGCCCGTTACTGCACATAGAGCCTGACACTACCCAGAGTCAATCTCCAGAATGGGGGCCGAGAGGGACTATTTCTTGGAGGACTTAGGTAGGTTCCACCTTTATTCATTGATTATCGCGATTTTATTTTCATTGAACAGATAAATGCCTCAGTGTAATGTTTCCCCACTTATAGTGGACCTCCTGGGAGCTTTGTTAAAAAGTTAGATTCTGGGGCTTCCCAGTTCCATCCAATCAGAATCTCTGGGGGTGAGGCTCAGGAGTCAGGCTCTGATCAAGCGCCCAGTGTTGGGGGACCACTGTTCCTAGCTCTTCTGCCTCTGAGTTACAGGAGGAGCAGCTGCTCCTAAGACTCACCACCCAAGGATGAGCTGTGGAGCCCCACCTGGTGGCCTTGACCTAACTGAGCTACGGCATGGATGCAGAGAAAGCAGAGACTATTAAAGGAAAAGGAACCACATAGGTCACCACCCAGAGCCAAGGTTTCTAGAGGAAGTTGGGTACCCCTCAAGCTGAAGAAAGAGTGTGTGCAGCCTTCATAAAAAGAAGCACAAATAGGAGTAATACCAGGATACAAATGAGAGGGTATTCAACTCAAACCCACATTTATTATCTCCCGCTGGGTGTTCCAGAATTGTTTAGAGCAGGGAAGCTAGGACAAAATCATGTCCTGCATTGTAATAACATGCTACCCCCCAAAAAAAAGAATAACCTTCTGGGGTCCATCTTGGCAAGCTCTTCCTCCTGGCCTCCCTTGACTGACTCGCCCGCACAGCTGCATGCTTCTGAAGCACGTTCCTCCATCACCTCGGGGTTAGAGCTGACCAGGAACAGCGGCGGTACGGAGCCAGGCTGCCCATTGTCTGTGGTTTCTGGTGTGGGAGAGGTTGGCACTGAACTGGGAATTGCCTTGCTCCTAGACTAGACCTGCAAAGGCCTACTTTCTTCAGTGCCTCACGTGAGATAAGGGTCTCTTATTTAGAGGAGCCGGGTGGTCCTGAGTTGTGTGCCAGGGGGTCTTGGCCCAGCAGAAGTGCCTCCTCAAGCCCATGACTCAGGCACTGAGTGGAGTTCTGGTTCACTCCCAACCCTGACAATCTGCTTGTTCCTGCCAGGATCTGCCAACCAGAAGGCTGGTCTTGGGGTTTTGGGGAAGCATCTAACTCCTGCAGTTAAAGCACAGAGCAGGGTTCGCCACTGAAAACGTTCAGCTTCTCACCATCGCAAGGACATCCTGTGCAACCTCTGTGACAGGGCTTTACAGGGAGCTGAGGAACCGGAGGCTTGTTGTGTACCTGGTGGCCCAGAGCGTGGCCTGCGCAGAGTGGCCACCTTCTGGTGCTGCAAAGGCCCGATGCCCTCCCCATGCCTGCAAGGAGCAATGGCTGCGAAAAGGCTCGGAGCTCCACTCGGTGGGCGGCAAGGTTGGGGTTCTGTTTACACGGCCCTGTTGGGTGATCAAAGGCACATGTGCTGTGGAGGAAAGAACTCGATACCTTGTGGGACACACAGCTATCAAATAAAATCAAAACACGCCAGAGAGTTCACGTGACTATTATTTCCTTTAATAATGCAAAGGTGTAAACCTCACGAAGGCCTGGCTGATTATCTGCACAACAACGTTAGCATTCTTATTAGTAGACAAACGTGATCCAGACCAGCTGTATAGGTTTTCCCAAAGTGAGCAGAGACCCCGTGGGCCTGGAGGCGGGGTGTGGGGATGCAGGGAGGGAGGGGGCACTGTCTTAGGGGTTCCTGGTGGGCTAGGCCACGGCCACAGCCAACCAGAATTCAGTGTTCACTGGGAGTGGCGCGTCCTTACGCTGTCTCCAAAAGGGCATCTCATTACAAACCTCGGCCTGTCTGAATGCGGCCACTGCGGTGACGGTAAAGCTGCCTCGGCAGAGGCCTGCCTGGTGGGGGTGCTTTAGGGGATAGGGCTGGGTCAGGCTCCCCTCCATTTGGGCTAAACCTTCAAAGAGTTCCTTCAGAAACACTGACACTGTCTCTCCCATGCGAGTGGGACTGGGACCTGGGACCCTGAGGAGGGTGCTCCTGAATGACTTCTGCCCAGGGTGACATAGAGAGTGTGCTGGGGGTCAGAGGACAGTGACGGCTCACCTGCACCAGGACTGAGCTTGCCCATCCTAGCCCTCCCTGCAGCTCTTGCTAACTGACCTGGGATTCCCACCCCAGGCCCAGAGGCACCACCTGCCTCTCCTCAGTGCTCGGCCATGTGCCCAAGAACCACGCGGCTCCTGCTGCACTGGGTGAGGCGGCAGGAGCCCCGGAGGGAGAGGACTGAATTGTGGCTGGAGGCAGCGGGGGGTGGGGTGGGGGGGGTGAGTGAGGGGGTGGGGGGGGCAGGAGGCACTACCCTGCCTGAGCTGTTTGGGTAGCATTTGGTCTCTGGTGTCTGCACTTGAGCCTCAACACTGTGAAGGCTAGGGACGGGAAGCTCTATCCCCCAAACCATGGGATCACTTAGATTCCCAAAGGGAAATCCAACAGAACTGAAAATTAAAGAGACAAAAAGGAACAAAAATCACACTTCCTGTGGAGATGCTCAGAGAGGAGACATGTAGAATGATATGTGACCACAATGGAGGGAGGGAGTTTTATTCAGCAGACGTTCCATCCCAAATACGCAGTGATGTCACTAAACAGGACTCACCCTTGTGTGGGACTTTCACACATACACCCCTACTTCCTCTCCTGGCCACGTGGGGGAGGCATACTCCCCAACAGCAGGGAGGAGCAGCTGGCTTTCACCAGCTTTAAAAATGTCACTAGAGCCACTGACCAATAGGGGTTTGGTGCATTCGGGAAGTATGACAGACTGACTGAGCCCCAATTTATCAACAGTCCAGGCTGGGCCGCCTGGGAGTGGCCCGTGCCCTCCCTGCTGCTTTGTGAGCATGAAGGGCCAGAGTACAAGGTTCATGCCTGGCTCACAGTGGATGCTTCCAATCTGGGAGGCTGACTTATTGATAACGTGGCTCACTGTGGAACCACAACCTCCAAGACATGAGGCTCTGTGCTGACCTGCAGCTGTGCAGCAGGCATCCGCCCTCCTGAGAGACACGTGTCTCACAGAGCTGGCAGTGTTGGGCCTTGCTCACAGAGCCAGCAGAGAGCCAGGGACACACTGTAAGCAGGACAAGCAGGATGGGGCCAGACCTAGAACAGGGGGAGATCAGGCTGCAGGACCACAGCGCTTTCCAGAATGTTTGATCAGCCCCAGTAAATACTTAACACACCTAATTCTGCTGCACGGTCACAGGGTGACTTAATTTGCCGTCATGTCATCAAAATGCTCAGGTGAATCACAGTGGTCTGGCTGCCGTATATGGGCATTGAAATGCACACAAAAACAACTAGTATTGAGGGGCCGAGGAGCAGCGTGGGGTTAGAATGGGGGCACGTGGGGTTTTTAACAAGCGGATGCAAGCTTTGGGGGCACTCAGAAACCCCTCTCTGCTACATCATTTTCAGGTGAGAACAACAACAAAAAATGCAACAAGCAGCAGAACAGATGTGCAGCCATGTCTCTGTAAACCTAGCACGATGCCTTTGAAACACTGTAAAGAGAAGCGCTCCCAAGTACGTTGTGCTGCCACTAACAGGGGAGCCTTCCTTATGAAGTGGCACAAAAATATACGGAAATGGCACAGCGCCTGGAGGTCCAGCTTTCTCCAGTCGCAAACTTTCCTCTTCCACAGAGCACGTGGGGCCACGGTCATTCTTCCAAAGGGGGCACTGATCATTCGCATAGGAACTGGGCTTTTAAGCAAATTTAGCTTTTCTTTGTGTGTTCTTACGTTCCTAACAGAGCAAAAGAAGAGTCACCGCAGAGAAAAGCAAGGAGGCAAAGGTGTAGGACGCGGAGCAGCCTCCCAGGGTCGCTGCGTGCGTCCCCAGAGAGAATGAGGTCGTTTAAAAACAAAGGTGGCAGTGGGGGTGTCCCAGTGATGTCCAAGGTGGTATGTGTGACGACAGACACAGGAAGGGGGAGGGGAGGAGAAAAGAGAAGGTAGAGACAGAAACAGAGGGGGGAAAAAATAGATAAAAAGAACAAAATTAGGTCAAATATAGAAAACACAAGAATCAAAGGTTAATTCAATGTTAGTCAATTAAACGTCAGAGGTTAGAGGAGAGTCCAGTGCGGCTTGTTACCACCAGGCCAGCTCCCAAGCTCAGCAGGGCCAGAAGCAGCACAGCAGGGCGAGCTCGGGGTTAGGGGTCAGCGAGCGCATGAAATTAAAGTGAGAGAACGGAAGCCTCCAGTAAGACACTGGTTTTGATTAGGAGAGTGTTACCTTTGACTACGATGAGGTCTCTTAGCTACAGCCAAGGAGCCTACCCAGGGCCTTCCTGCCGCTAGAGCTTGGCACACATAGTGGGAGAGATGCGTTTGATCACTGCAGTATGCGCAGCATACTGAGCAGAGGCCAGGGGGCCACCTTTTCAACCACAAATTGAATTCTTCTTCCTATTGCACGACCCCCCCCAGCCACAGTGCTGTTAAAGAAAACCTCGCTCTGTGCCCCTTACCTGCTACCACTTGCTGACCACAGAATTCCACCTCCCACCCAGCGCACAGCCACCTCCTCTGAGATGGTACGAGAGCCCCTCTCCCCCCGCCCTGCGCTCTCTCTGAGTTAATGGGGTTCCTGGACAATTAACAAGGACTCTGGCATCTCCAGCCGGCAGGACCCTGGAGGACAAGGTCTTCGCAGAACTTCTGGACCTGACACACCCTGAAAACTGCTGCTACGGGTGGTGCCCAGCATGTGAACACAGCAAGGCTGGGCCCCCTGTCTATGGGATCTTACCATTGGAAACAAATGCCACCAGAAACAGGCTCAGTGCAAGAGGGTTACTCAAGCCTCTCACTCTCTCAGCTCCTAAATGTCCCATAAAGGCCGAGCAGATCTGGACACCCACACCAGACTACCGATTTTAAGAAAACAACTGACCAAAGAATGCGAAGAAAAAAAAGGCAGAGAATGGCAAAGCCATCCCCATTCAGGCACTCTGGTAAGCAGTAGTGAGAACATTTCTTGCAGCCAAACCCAGGTACCCCGCCTTTGACACTGACCATGTGGCCCGTGTGCGGAGGCAGGCTCACCCCAGTATGGGTTAAGGTGTCTCCCTGACAACACAGAGGATAAGACCAACCGATGCTTCTGATCTATGGCTTAAGACTCACTTGCCAACTCATGGAGGCCCCCACACGTCTGTCAGACACACACATTCATGCACAACCGACCATTGGGAGCCACAGACTGACTTCATTTTGTTGCTGCTTGAATAACCCACTTTCACACACACACACACACACAGCTCTGTTGTAGGCAACCCAACCTACATTCTTTCTGGCCTCGCTTCTATTGGGAGAAGATACCTGGGACCTTAGCTGAGAGCCCAGAGCAGCACTCTAAGAGGACAAGCATGATGGCGGCCAGACGTAGACCATGGGGAGATCAGAACATGTTGCTACCATACTTGAGCATGGCAGAGAGGGCATTGGGCCTCTCTGACAGGCTGCACTATGCCCACCTCTCCTGCCTGTGGATGGCATTTGGCTGGGAAGGAAAAGCAGAGATGTTGTTGAAGATATCTGCTCAGAGGGATTTGGTCAATGAGGAGACTGGCCACCAGCAGCAAGGGAGCTGGGCCGGAAAGCAGAACTCTCACTTTATTCCCACATGGAGTTGGTCCTGCATCCCTAGAGATGGACCTGCATCTCCTACTGCTCCCATCATGATCTCTAGCAGGCCGAATCATCTCTCATGGATGGGATTTTCCAGTATCTATTGTCTCCACTTGCTCTAGTTCAAGTGGTTCGATTTAATCAATTGCGAGGCCCTTGGCAGATTGAATTTTTAATGAACTAGGCACCAGGTCTTCCTTCTCTTGGGAGGTCCCCAAAAAGAAGAGATTTCGACCGTGACTGTGCAGGTAAGCAAGCATCAGATAGAAAGCGCTTAAACAGAGTTCATCCTCATATGAAATGGCAGATGGCAGAGAAGGTCTCACAAAGGAACCTTGCTCAGCTTCCAAGGCTTGGCAGGAGCCGGAGCCTTTCCCACCTGAGGGCTCCCCAAGGACTGGCTCAGCATCAGCCCTTCAAGGCCAAGTGACATAGGGCCTTTGCCCAGGACGCTTGGCCGAGCCTTTCCAGGAGTCCAGTACATCTCAACCCACTGCACAGGTAGGTACAAAGCAACACTCAGCGCAGCATGGGACCGATCATGAGGATGGCTGTAAGCAAGCACGTTGTGAGGGCTGTCCAGGTGCATTAGGAAGGGCGGCACTGCATTAATTCCAAGCGGGGGACTCACGGGAAGCAGAGTGCGCGTACCTGGGATGGCTGTGGGCTGCGCCGAGGTCCTGAACACAAAATGAGCTGCCTTGGACTTCCCCTGCTGGTTCTCGGCCACCACATAGACCTCATACTCAGCATTCCAGTCCAGGGACTTGAGCATGATGTGGTCACTGCCAGACGGGAGCCTGATCTCTGGTTTCCACTCGGAGGAGAGCTTCTGGGAGACACCGGCAGGAAGGACACAAGACACCAGGCAGCATTAGAGAACCCTGGTGAGACCAGCTCACAGAAGAACTTCGGCACATCAATAACAATTGGCGCAAAATAATGAAAATAAGAACCAATGGTAGAATGTGATGTTTATTCTTTACCAGCCTGACAGACCCTAAGGATTACACATCAGGGGGTCAACCTTACATGTTCGCAAACACAAACAGAGGCAGCTGCTAGTGGGATCTGCGTCTCAGGCGTAAATTCCACTAAGATGCCCACAGGAAGGTGCATTCAGCTCAGCAGAGCACTGCATAGGGCAAAGCCTGCAGCTGACAGTAGAGGGTCCCTTTTCCTCCTTGAAAGCTCAGTTATATCCCTCACTGCACCAGTGAGCTTTTTCTTTCTTTTCTTTTCTCTCTCTCTCTCTCTCTCTCTCTCTCTCTCTCTCTCTCTCTCTCTCTCTCTCCTTTCTTTCTTTCTTTCTTTCTTTTTTAATATTTCTTTATTGATTTCAGAGAGGAAGGAAAGATAGAAACATTAATGATGAGAGAGAATCATTAATCAGCTGCCTCTCACATGCCCCCCCACTACTTTGCCCTTGGCCAGAATCGAACCTGGGACCCTTCAGTTCGCAAGCCAATGCTCTATCCACTGAGCGAAGCTGGCAAGGGCAGTGAGCTTGTTCTGAATGGAAGTTTATCAAGCCACCCCCCGCCCCAAGCAGGTGACCACCTCCCTAACACAACAGGGAGGTTGGCAGAACTCCCCAGAAGTCTTCAGATGGTTTCACCGTTGCTCACTCAGCCCATCTCCTCGGACTTTGAAGAAGTGTAGGCTGGGCTCACAAGAGCGTTTGGCAAATGTTTACTAAGTGACGGGCTGTTCCCCAGAAGAGCAGAATGTGCTCTAGTCACCTGGGAAGTGGTGTGGCCATGGCTGAGCTGCAGGGAAACTTAGCTTACAGCACAGCCATCTTCCCAGGCAGGACTGGCACCAGCCAGAGACCCGCCTTTAGGAAGGGGCCATGGCCACCACTATTGTGGGGAGATGCCAGAGAAAGTGATGGTTTCCTTAGTGTCTAACCTGGAAGTGGAGGTGCTGTAGGTTAGCTTGTGCCTATGCCACTGTATGGTCCCTTTTTAATTGAAAACAAAGAAATTCAGCTGTCTTTTCCCTTATTTCTCTGGAAAGCTCCTTTCATTGGCTAACATCATTACCAAAGAGACAACCAGTATGTAAAGCAAAGATTTAATAAAGCAATCATGATGTTTTATAATACATGTTAATATGTATTAATGATATTTAGCAAACAGTAAGTTCTTAGAGGATAGTCAAGGTTGTTGAAACCTGACATATCTCAGTGTTTCGCCCCAGCTGTCTTTCCAGCTCAGACCTGCCTGGCACAGCCACAGTGATTCTTTTGGAAAAGTGAGATCTGAGGAGGCCTCCAAGGGAGGCACTTCCCACCCCAGCCGGCATCTTAGCAGTAATGACTGTATTTACCAGGCATGGAAGTTTCCAAGTGCCAGTCACATTTCCGGTCCTTTGCATATATTATAACTAATCTCTATAACAACCCGATAAGTGATTTTGTTCCCATTTTACAAGAAGAGAAACAGAAGTTTGGGGAGACTGGATGATGTATTTGGGTCACATGCTGGCAAGGGGTAAAGCTGGACCTGACTCTATGTGTGTCCAGCCACATCAGGATAACAACAGCCAGAGGCGTCCCCCCAGCCCTGTCCACTTCCAGTGCTGCCAGGAGTCAGCCCGGCACCTGCTTCTTCTCCAGGACTCTGTGAGACCTGTGACCTAATCAAGTGGGGGCTCACATCCACAGGGCTGACCAAAAGGCAGAAGGAGTAAGTCATCTTCCTGGAAAAAGCCTTTCTTGGGGGCTATCTGAAGAAAGGCAACTGCTCTGTGGCTCCGTATTTCCTTCTAGGAAGAGACCCTAGCAATAGACTATCCCCAGTGCTCACACATTGCCTCAGCACTTGGCCAAGTGTCATTCTTAAACCAAAACACGAGAGAGATTTTAAATTGGGGGTTGGGGATGAAAGGTGCAATGATAGAAATCTTAGACGGGTTCTGAGCCAACCAGGAAGAAAAGGCCTAGGGCCACGCTCCTAGCAGGATTAGAACAGCTCAGTGGGGGAAGAGCTGGCGAGGGAGCTAGCCAGTTGCATCCATCAGACAGATCTGGGTCTCAACCCTGGCTGGCCCGGCTGTGAGAGGCCAGGCTCTTACCGACTGCACAGCCCTTGCTGCCTCTGCCACATGGTGATCCTTGGAGGACCTATTTCATAGGGTCTCGTGGAGAGGAAATGCATGTAATCACAGCACCTGGCCCGTGAGGTAGCGATGCTTAGGCAGCAGTATGTTATTTGCAAAAAGCACAGGGTAATGGTAAAATAACTTTGTACAAAAATTCAAGAAGAAGCAGGAAAACCAATCATGGTATGAGCTTGTCACCACCACAGCCATTTTGGAGGTTTTGAAATGGTCCCAGGGTGGACATGAACTAACAGTTGTAGGTCAGTCTTGAGATTTGAAACCCTGATCAGGGCCCAACACACAGGGGATGGTCCAGCCCGCCCGGTAAGGGACAAAGCTGGACAGCAGCCCATGTCTGTCCAGCCACATCAGGCTCTGCCTGTTGTTGCCCCACCAAGGTGTGTGCCAGGGTCTCGGGGCAGGGCTGAGCCCCGGGAAGGGGCACTCACCGTTCGGTACTTGACCAGGTAGTGTCTGATGGGGGAGCCGCCGTCGTCCTGCTTGATCAGGTTCACCTTGATGGAGTTGCCATCCTCTCCCATCTGCCCTTCGAGCTTAGGAGCGCTGGGTTCCCCTGAAACAGCCAGTTGGTTCATGTGACATTTTCCTCCACAGAATGAAACCCATCCATCAGAAAGGGATGCACTGGCAGGGTGGGGCTAGGCTCTTTTGTTTTCTCAGAAATTCAAATGGTTAAAAAGCAGAAAACGTAAGACTTTGGATTCCAGTTAGATGCCTCAGACTTAGCTCAAATGTAGGCCCTTTGGGGATGTTCTGGGCAGCTTGCTCGCTCCCTGGAGATACAGCCCATCACGCTCCTGAGCTGGGCCTTTGTTCCTGTCTCCCCCTGGAGCCTGCTTTCCTTTTCGCTGCTATGCTCTTACAACTGAAGACTTAACTTTTATAAACCTGGTATTTTTGGAAATGGCCCGAAATATGGAAAAACGAGAGCATTTAAGGAGAAAGCTCATATGCATAAAATAATTTTTCAAAGCAGCCTAGTTTCTTCTCTGGATATCTAAGTAATAATATTAAAAACAATTTAAGTTCCTGGCTGTGATTAAACAAAGCATGATTTGCCAAGGCAAGTTTTTTTTTTTTTTATTTCCTTATTGAATAAGGTATCACATATTTGTCCTCAACCCCCCATTCCAATCATAAGGTTCTTATTGGTCCTGCATTTATGGCTGAGCTGATTGAGATAATCCTCAACACCTTGTCTTAAGTAACAATCATGAAGCCCCTGTCTTTGTGAGGAGAGGGAGAGAACACGTCTTTAGTGGTTTTCAGCAGAAAAAGGTCCCTGCATGTCTTTATTTGCAGCTTGTGCTCAGCGGACAGCCTGCATCCAAGGCTGAGAAGGAATATGTGCTGTGTGACAGGCTGCTGGGGTAGGGGCGGGGGAAAGGGTGCTCATCAGTGAGTGAGGAACCGATTTACTTTAGGATAAACTATTTCATTAGTATACGCTGAAAGCAATGAGGTGAGAAACGTCTGATATGGGAAGTAAAAATGAAGACTTTGCACACTTGTAAGTGCTGTACTTCCTGCACGAGCCACCTCTGAGTCAGTTTCATGGCCTCACATGGAACGTTTGGGAGGGCCCAGAAACCTTCAGCGTGGGCTGCCTGGGCCTGTGCTCTGGATTACAGAACCACAGATATGTGACAAGAGCCAGGAAAAGCTTGTCAATAGGGTTGGGACCTGAGCAGCCCAAAGTGTACCTTTGGTAAGGCCCGTCCAGCCCACTGTCCTGGGTCAGTTACTCTGGGAACCTCAAAACGGCCCCGTGTCCTGCTCTTCTTTAAGACAAAGAGGAAGCAGAGAGAAAGCTCAGGAGAGCTGTGGTACTCAACCTGGGCCTCCTGTAAGCATCACCTGAGAGCTCCTTAGAAGTGCAGACTATTATTTTAGCAGGATCCCACATAATCTGTGTGCACACGTAGGCTTGGGATGTGCTAGCAAAGGGCACACATAAACGCTGCGACAGTGAAGATGCATAACCTTAATGCTGTGCAACCAAGTATTTGTGCTTGTTATGTGTGTGTGTGTGTGTGTGTGTGTGTGTGTGTGTTTTAGCCAGTAATTAAGAAAAAATAAAGAAGATAAAAGGGCTTCAGGCAAAAACCTGTCCTATTTCTAAGCCATTATGTAGTCACAGCCCTGAACAATTCAGTGGAGAAAATTTAGAAGTTGGGTTTCGGTAATGTCAAGGCATGTATGCTTTTCACATTCTTTTGGCCCATTCTAAGTCTTAGTAATCCAGTTAGGTCTTATATCACCACGAATGCCCAGTGCTGAGAGGAAGTGCCAGGGAGTACAGGGCAGTAGGCCAGCTCTGTGTCACTCCCCAGTGCTGAAGGGTGCATGGAGGGGATGTAGGGGAACTTTACAACACTATGCTCTGGCTGGTTAGGGAGACCAACCCACCCAGGATGGCCTGGAATTCTCCAGGGGTTATCACACCAAGTCGGGCTCTGGAGAAACTGTTAGTCCCAGGCAAGCCAGTGGCTTGGTGACCAGGGACTGGATGGATATGGACACTATCATTATAATTTTCTGTACCCAGAAACATAATGTGGGCTCTGCGGTGAGTGGCCTGTTTGCCTTCAGGAGGAGGGAAGGAGGCAGCATCAGCAGCCCTTCCAACACACCCATTGAGCAGGGACCCAGCCCTTCTCCAGGCTCAGTGGAAGGGAAGTAGAGATTAAATTATTATTCTTTCCTCTCAGATTTGAGCAGGGTGAGCTCCCAAGGCTGAACTGATACCGCCAAACGTGGAACTCTACTTTGGGGAATATCTACTTATTTATGTGCTTTCTCTGATGTCTGTGAGATCCCTTTAAACTGCATGCTAAGGAGGTCACAGGAGAGCCTGGGGGGCTGCCACCTTGGACGAGTCTACACATTTGAAAATACAGGCCCTGGACTGATGCTCTGACTGTGACATCACTGTGCCACACCATGGCCACTGCCCCAGATGGACTGTAAGATCACCACAGCTATTTCCATGACACTGCAAAAGACAGAATTTGAAATATAGGATATGCATCCATTTTTAGAAAATGCACCCCCAAATCAATAATCCTATATTTCTAAGGCACAGATGGTCCTTTAAGTTTTTTAAAGTTATCTCAAAAAGTCTTATCTTTTAAAAGAACCTAAGTCTCTTCAAAGACATATGAATTAAAATCTCACCAACGAATCCCTGTAGAAACTAACAGCCCTGATGAAGGCACTCTCCTATCCTGTATAATAAAAGGGTAATATGCAAATCGACCTAAGGGTAGACCAACCAGTTGCTCTGACACACATTGACCACCAGGAGGCAGACTCTTAAGGCAGGAGCTGCCCCCTGGTGGTCAATGCACTCTCACAGGGGGAGCACCACTCAGCCCCAAGCCAGGCTAATGAGGCTGATGACTGGAGAGCGAGGTGGTGGTGGCAAGAGCTTTCCTGCCTCTGCAGCAGCACTAAGGACGTCTTAAGGATGTCCAACCGATGGCTTAGGCCCTGGCGGGGAGGGGAGCCTTCAGGCCTAAGCAATCAGTTGGACAGCTCCTCAGAGCTCCAGGATTGCTAAAAGATGCAGGTTGGGCTGAGGAGACCCCCATATCCCCAAGTGCACAAATGTTGCACACCAGTCTTTAGTCTTTATTAGGTTCATAGGGAAACCACTATGCTATTTAATATATCACAATTAAAACATGGTTGTAACATGGTTAGAACACTATAGCTTGCTAGCATTTTATCTGAGTGACAATCATGATACTCTGATATGTGTGTACTACTTTCCCACATAACTTAGAGCATTGTATATCATATAATATTCAGGTGTGTCATCTAGAGTGCTTTAAATATGAATTATTGAACATATGTATATTGAGTACCTACTAGGTACCAAGCAAGCTTTTGGAGTTTCAAAGGGGAATAAGACAAATGAAAAAAACTGAGTTATAATCAATTTTTAAAAAAATGCTGGGGCCCAAGTATAAAAACATAGATCTTACTATGACAGTATTTCTAAAGGAAGTGCATATTCAACCTATGATGTTACTTATCGTAGGCCCCTCAAGATCTAGAAAGAGCAGTAAGTGTATAATCAATTGTCTCATACATCTTCAAATGTTTACTGTCAGTCATTTTTTTACAGGTTAGATAAGGAGTAAAGAAACGATTTCCTGAACTCTCTGCAAAAAGAAGTCTCCAGCCAGCCGGGGAAGAAGGGGGGCTGAGGCTAAAGGAGTGGGCGTGGCATTCAGGAGGCTTCCCGCTTTGGGGAACACATTAGGAGAGGAAATTATTCAGAGGGCCCCACGTGCACTCTGAGCTGTGGTGGCTGCTCTGATTGAAACCATTATGGGTAATTTCAGCAAAACCAATATCATAATTATTTGTAAACGTTGGTTTGCAGTTCAGCAGCCAGAGGCAGGTTGCTCCAAGAAAACCCCTGGGGTTAATTATACCCTCTGAGTGTAGCTTCAGCCATGAGTCTTATTTTCCCCCAAAATATTTTCTGTAAAGATTAAAACAGCAGTACCTTAAAAATGAACCTTGCCAATAACAAATATGAGACGTCAAGCAGTTCTGGTATTTTCTAGAAGAATGTGAATTGTGCATGCAAGAAAATGAAAAAGAATGCACCATGGAGATCACCGGTAGTCAGAAATATTACATGGAGGTCCTACGAATTTCTCTTATAAACCGTAATTGAAATGCGTATTTCTGGCCTTGCAGATGGTTGGTTCTTCTTTGTAATTATGGTGTTACTGTGCCCTGAACCTGGAGTCAGCTTCGTCCTTCCCCTTGTCAGCAGAGGCTCTGGGGTCAGATCCCTGCTGCGGGGTGTCTGCCTTCCACAGCAGGAATGAGAGCAAGCCTGGGCAGTCAGACAGCGTTTGTGAAGTTTGGAAGGAAAACGGTCTACTGCTTCTCACTCCAAAAAGCCCAACGTCAGGAGCTGGATCTTCTGAATGAAAGGCTAAGGTGCCAACAGGCACCCCTGAGAAAGGAGGGGTCAGCCTGGCATCTCCCTTCATCCACTCTGGTTCTTTCCCCCAGCACTCACAGGCTTGGACATCTGAGATAAGCCAATGGTGGATGCAGGGGCTGTGTTGGAACCCTTCTCTTTGTCTACCACGTAGGATTGTCTAGCATTAAAATTATTGTTTCTTTTGTTTATCTTAACTGCTGCTCCCACTCGTGTATGCCTTTTCACTGTTTTCAAAAGCCCAAAATGTAAGCTTTAGCTGTTTAAATATGAAGCCTATTTGATTTTTCCAATTCAGGAACATTCACAATTTCATCAAGAGGTTAAAAGTTGGACTGGTCCTTAGGGGATCGGCAAATTCCTTAAGGGAATCAGGACTGAGAGCTATTAGAACCCTAAGTCTCCCTCCCGAGACCCAACACCTTGCCCTAGATGCCAAACAAGCCAGTCTAATGTGATCTGTGCAGCATGCATTCTGGGACCCTTGAACTGTGCCCAGTGTTCGGAGGAAGAATGTTTAGCGCCCTGTGGCTGAGGCGTCTGGCTTACAAAGTCCTCCTAGCACTGGATTTCTCCGGAGTTAGGAATGTGAATGTGTGTGCTGGGGGAGGGGAGGGGAGGAAAATGTTCCCACAAAATACAAATTAACCAGTCACAAATGAACTCTGACAGACCAAACCACAAAATTCCAGTTCCCTTCTCATGGGTATCATGAAAAACACCAACAGATTAATTGATCAATTATCCTAGTTTCATCATCCTAAAAAAGAAAATATAACCACGAAGGTATGGCTTGTGGTTATGGGGCCGATCAGGCTGAGGAAGTCATGACAGAAATAACTGCTATCACCAACAATTAGCTCGGCTCCCGCCTCTGAGGCCACAAGGCACATGTTCTACATCACCTCCTGGAGGGCAGCCTGCTCCTGGGAGGAGCCTCCCAGTGGAGAACCCTGGGGATGTAGGCACTTTCCCCAGCCCCTGTCCCTGTCCTCTGCCCATAGATCTGGGCCGACGTCACCGCCTGCCCTAGTCGCCTGGCTCTAGCTCCCCACCCTGGCAACCAGAAGCGCAGGGAGTCCGTGGCAACAGAGGCAATTAGAGCAGAAGCCCTGGTGGAAAGTCTGTGCGAGCTGCCTGAGACCGTGGCCATCCGACACAGCTGTAAAAATAAAGGAGGGAGTGGAAGGGGTGGTTAGTGATGTTTCAATCTAAGAAGGAAGAGTGGATGTTACAGGGTTTAGTTCATCAGAACCAGCATGTCCTAGTACGAGTCAGTGTCAGTAGCTAAATAATAAAAAAAAAAGATCATTATGAGGGGTGGGGAGGGATCCATGCTCCAACATGCAGCACAGTGAGGGGGTGAGGTGGGAGTGGGGCAGGGGCTTGTGGTCACACACATGCTGGTGGGGGAGGGGTCCCATTTACAGAGGCCTCGGTAGCTGTCGGAGTCCCTGGGGGAAGCAGGCCCTTGCAGACACATGCCGTGGTAGAAAGAAACCTGAGCATCTCATGGGCATTGAACTCACTTCTGGGCTCTCCGGCAGGTGCCTAAGCTTCCCTGCCGGGAGCTCCCACAGGCAAAGCTCAGGAGGCTCAGGAGCCTGGAGTTGCTGGGGTCTGGTGCTCAGTGTGTGTTCTCACCTCCCTTCTAACTCAGTGCTGCTGGGCCCAGTGGGCACTGTGGAAGGAAACCCGAGGGGACAGAGCTAGATCACTCAGCACATGCTAAGTGCCCCCCAGGCAATTTTGGGGTGGTGAACAGGGGGCATTGGATTTCAGCAGTTGTTGGGTGTACAGCCCACTGCCCAAAAGACGCCCTGCTCACTTACACCTTCCAACACCTGCCCAGAGCAGGGAGGCAATAACAGCCCTGAACTAATAAGCTTTATTTCTCTGTCCCGTAAATTTTATTTGCTTTGATCTCTCCGTTCCCTTAAGTTTTATTAATAAAGGCCATTTCCTGCTTCTCATCTCACTGACAAAGTCCTTTGCCTGCCCCTTTGCCGCTGGCAGGGGAGGGTCTGGCTGTGGAATGCTTCAGCCTCTCGGCAAATATTTTAGCACTGGCCACGTTTTTTACTGACAGCCGAGACCACTGCTTAAGTGTGTTTGTAGGGCGGCTGCAGGAAGCATCTTCAAACATTTCTTCCCTTGCCGAATCTGTCCAGGGAGCTCTCTGACGAACCTGTGGATTAGCTTCTACCTCATGAATGCTGTGTTTTGTCTCATTCTGAACTAGAGCATTGCTCAGAAATGGCCAAGCTTGTTCTTTTTTTTCTTTTTAAAGTACATTTTTATTAATTTCAGAGAGGGAGAGAGAGAAACATTAATGATGAGAGAGAATCCTCAATTGGGAGGTCACAGTTCAATTCTCAGACAGGGCACATGCCCAGGTTGCAGGCTGCCTCTTGCATGGTCCCTTCTGAGGATCAAGCCTGCAACCTGGGTATGTGCCCTGTCTGAGAATTGAACTATGACCTCCCAATTCATAGGTCGAAACTCAACCACTGAGCCACACTGGTTGCACTGGCCAAGCTTGTTCTTAAAAAAAGAAAGTGAGGAGTTTCAACCCAATGTCTGCTCACACTAAGATTTCAGAGGGAATGTCCAGGCTTTGTCCCAATACATCAGCCTCTGAGCAGTCACCATGGCCCAAAGGAGCCTGATCCCCCTTGGGGAAAGGATGAAACCACAATATTTGGGGTGGGACTTGGAGTTAAGAAAATCTTAGATTCCCAACATCCCCTGTCCTAAGACTCCCAGATCAGGATACTTTTTAAAGTATGTAAAACATATGATCCGATGTTTCACTGCTTTGGGGACATTCCTACTCAACGGGGACAATGAAAATATCAAATATCTCCTTTTTGGAAATAAGGACAGCTCTGATCCAAGACCTCTTTCCAGGAGTTTGGATGTAAATGGGACCAAATGGGGACACAGTGGCCATGCCTAGAGAGCCAACGTCCTCAGAGGTGGCCAGTGTGGAGGAGTGGGAGAGGGAACATCACAGGACTCACACACGTGGGCGGGGAGCACTCAATGAAATGACAGACCAGGAGCAAAGAGCATGCGAGATGAGCTGTGGATGGGCTTGTTCCTGTGGATGTCGCCCAATCAGTTTTCAGAGAAGTGAGGTCATCCGGGGCCCTGGCATGCATGGGCACACTGGGCATTACTGGGGTTAGTTTCGCTTTGGTGATCAGTGCAGCCTGTATGTGTCTCAGGGTGGGACTGGAAGAACATTTTCTGTGAGGAGAGCAGAATGCACGTGACTCCCGGGGCAGGTTCGGAAAGGGTTGCTCGCTTTTGCTGGGAAAGCTGTGAGCAAGGGCTGCCTTTCTCTGAAATCATGGAATATTTTTACAAAGTCGTGACAGTTGCAAGATCAACTAATTATGTTGTCACTGCTCTGTTCTTCATTAGCCTACAGTTTTATCTCCTTTGCTGTAATGGCCAATCACGTGCTTCTTGGTCACACAGAGCTCTCCTGTCATGGTAACGCCAAGTGACGTTGGCTTTGATTTGTCCCCTCTGCCCGGGAGAGGGTCGCTCTTGACAAGTGACCCCCTCAGTGATCACAGCCAAACTGCTCTACTTCAAAATTCTGAAGTCTCTCATCTCAGAAAGTCCTCAATTTGCATGAATTTAATGAACCACTCTCATTGGTTTTAAGCAAACACAACCTTTGCAATTGTAGGGTTCCACTGTTGTGAACAAATACATTTTCATGTAAATACGACTCATTTTAGAGCAACTGTGGTTTTTAGAACTACTGGATAAAATTAAACAACAATATAATAAAGCTAATTTACAAAACTGCTTTCTGGGAAATAATTTTTACGAACCACCTGGTAAAAATTCAAGCTTGCAAACTGTGCTGTGGCTAAGTGGTTTTACCGAAGAGAGCAGTTTACATGGCCAAATTCTTAAAGGAAAATACCTAGGCTGTCTTGGTATCAAATTGTCATGTGAAGGCTGCAAAGAATGGTGAATTCTGCCTGTGAATTGAAAACAAGAGGAACTCTCCCAAATGGCTTCTCTTAGGAAATCTGAGACGGGAAGCAATGAGCAGGCCCTGGGTGCCAGGCTGTGGTCCCAGATTTATTTCACTTATCAGAACAAAGAATTTTACCTTCTGTTCACCAGCGTGGACGACATCATCAGCACCATGCAAGCCACATGACAAAGTCACATGATACGCACGCACATGATTGGTTGAAAGGAAAGTGGAGAAGGTCACATGGAAAATACAAAAAAATTAAAAACTGATGTAAACAATGGGCAGGGAGAAAAATCAACAACAAAATCACAGACTAAATAAAAGGAGAAATCAAATTAAATTAGCAGCATATATAGGAAACACTGGGAGGACAGTAAAACCGCCCAGAAATAGAGAATCATAAATCATAAAGAGTATTTGGTTAACACCAATAAGCATTAGATACAGCTGCAACACTGCATATTAATAACACATCAAGGAGCATGTAAAGTGGCTTTAAAACGGGGAGGTGTTTCTGACAGGACCCAGCTGGCAGAGGCAATCCGGAAACTGCTGAAGGAAGAGAAAATGCAAGTCATTATCACAGGTTCCAGAAACATCTCGGCGTCCCTGGGGAACAAGGGAGGGAAACAGAACATGGGTCATGAAGGAAAAGTCCCCTGATGTTGAAGGCGCAGACTGAGCTCTGTGAGGACAGGCAGGCACATTACGTTAAGGGAAGTTGTTTCGTGTTTCCTTTGGTGCAGAGGAGGGGGCCTGGGCTGAGGGAGAGCCAGAGAAGGTGGCCCTGGGCATCTTTCCTTACTTCCCTGCTCAAGTGCCCCAGTGATCCCAGGGGCCATGACACATGTAAAGGAAGAGGCCAGGGCAGGCAGAGAATAGGCTTCCTTCCGGTGGTTGAGGCAATGGCTCTGTCAATATGAATGGAAACTAAACCCCTAACCCAACAAGCTGAGAGTTTGATCTTCAACAAATGCTCAGCGTTTGTAGAGGCCGTTAACTCTTTAGAACTGTGGCTGCATTAATATGACACGTTCTGATTTGTACAAGGAAAAAAAAATAGTTTTCTTGTTTGGATTTACCCACATTCCTCTTTGTTCGATGTTGTGTTTACACTCCAATCTGTTGCTTACATGTGACATGCGTGACCTTGTTTTGTTAGAAGGCATTTTGAGTTTCCCACCTCAACTTTCATAGGCCAGGGGGAGTTTTGGGTCTTGCCAACTAGAGCCGGGAGAGGAGAAGGGCCAAGAAGGGAGGTGAAAATGCCACTCTGCTAACTATTTAAGAATATTTTGAGAGAAATGCTTTAACCAAGGTATGTGCTCCCTCACTACTATGAACTGATAGCGTGCAAGCTTCTTACTGTCCAACATCACACAGGTTCTGCACACACCCACCATTAGTGTCCTGTAAGGATTCTTACACCTGAGACATTTATCCTTTGATGTTATTTAGGATATCTTCATTCATTCATAATTGTAACTAGATCAAAACACACACACACACACACACACACACACACACACACACACACACAAATACACACGACATTCTTTCATTCCAGCCTCATTGACGGACTGATGATTGGAGGATTTTATGTGCTTCTAGCTGCTCTGCTGTTAGTTCCACTGCTATTCAGCTGTGTAGCATTTTGCCTTCCTATTGAGCAATGCATTCATGCTCAATACAGGCTGCTGCCCAATCGTGACTGTCTTTCCTTTATCTCAGTATCCACTGGGACCTACAATTTGGGTCAGTAGTCAAGTGGTTTAAAATAAAAAAAACTCAAACTTTCTTCTCATTGGATGGCACTATGAAGCATGTTATCTGGGGGCAGAAATGCCTGATATTTAAAAATCAAGCATATGCCAGGGGAGAAACACCTAATTCTTCCTTAAGGAAAAATCTGATCCAAGGTTGTGTTTTACTTCCAGAGAAGATGGACCTATGGCGAGGCACCTCATATATGACAGGACTTGTGCAAATGTGTAAGGCAGCCTTTTCCCCTGCACCCGGCACACACACTGCACACAGGAGAAGGGCTGGGGCATCGTTGTTAGAAGAAGCAAGGTGCTGTTAGCTGCATTCCTTTTTCAAATGCAAGAACCCATCATCTGGATTAAACCCGTGTGAGCACAGTTCATTTTCACCCACTCTGCTCTGCTGATGAAATGAAACCTCAAAAGTGTCAGGAATTAAAATTCACTGCAGCATACACACAAAGAGAACACCAAGAAAACAGGCCCTTAGTTACACTCTGCAGTAGGAAAAAACACCATTCCATGCAATGCAGAACCAGGACAACCTTTTCTTCTCCATTTAATTCTGTGTGGGAACCCTGGCCTGAGAGTGGGAGTGGTACTGTGATATCTGCTTTCTCCTCACCCAGCCCTGCTCACTGATGCATGCTACTTTTCAGGGCACTCAGAAATGTTATAAAATCTAAAACTCTCACACAGCTGAGGACTCACACTGTGTACACACACACACACACACACACACACACACACATCTATAGCTGATCTGTCAGGGGATTTAAGGCCTAACCATAGAACAGCACTTCATTGGAGTTTTAAAACGACTAGCTTGGAGCATGTTATGGCTGTGATGAAGTGCAATATTTTCCACAATGGAAAAGCTGATATGGTCTGGCCCCGACTCTATCATCAGGAGATGAATTCCAGAACTTTCATCGGGATGCTCAATACACACATTTGAGCGAGCCTGGTTATGCGTTTTCGGGCTATGCCTTTTCTTGCACCGGGAGCGCCCTGCCTTCTCAGGTGCTCTGTGGACACAGCTCCCCCTCTGGGCCAGACACAGGAGCCAGGCTGTCAAGACTCAGCCAGTCCTCCTCCTTGGCTTCACCCTCTGCCTTTCTCCAAATAGCCATTCTCTCCTACTCCTGCCCTCATTCTCTTCTAGCTACTGCTACATGAGCATGCGGCATGTGTGCATGTGTTTGTGCATTCATGTGTGCACATGAGCATCAGTGGGGAGGGACAATGAAAGCTGGGGAGAGATGCTATTCTTTTGTCTTATTGGAGTTTTTCTAATCCTTTTCTAATTTTGACTTGAGGGTGAATGTTGAAAAGTCTCCTCATGCACAGGTATTGTTTACATAATCACCCCAATTCCTTGGGGGATGCCGGGGGTCTGCTCTCTTGGCCAAGCAGACAGCATGCTTAGAAAACCACACTGGTGAGGAGCGGCCATGCATTCACACTGTTGCTTTAACACAAGGAAAAACCATGGGCAGTGCTGTGACCCAGAAGTCAGATCTGCAACAAGCAGCAATCTGGCCAAGGGCAGCTCAGCTCCGTACTCACTAGATGATTCTGTGGTTGTAAGGGCAGGAAGAGGCCAGGTTGCTATGGAAACAGGAAGGACAGAAAAGGCTCAGAAAGGTAAAGGAGGAAATGGACATAAATTTTGTAAGTGTGTCTATACATTTAGGGCATTATTATTAAGAAAAGATAGAGATGGTGAAGAGATATTCTTTCATTTTTTTCTTCCCTGATTTACCAATGTGGATCTACTTTAAAGAGATTATCAGAGATTTTGCTGACAAATGACTCTCACACATTGAGAAATAATATAACCCTCATTTACTCTTACCATGAATGACAGCTAATATGTGCTGAGCCCTGTGTTTTTTATATTTGATCTTTAATTCTCACAAATACCTATAAGGTAGGTAAATCTGTCCTTCATTTGAAAGGTGAGAAATCTGAGGTATGGGGAGGCTGAGTGACTCATTAAAATCACAGGGCCGTACTGGTACACAGAGGGAGCAGAGCTGGGATTCGAACCAGGCTGTTCCCATCTCTCGAGCCGGAGCCTCTGCTGCGGCGACACACAGCTTGGAACGGCCCAGATGGGGTGGTGGGCCTGCTCCTAACTTAATCACGTGCAACAGGAGGCTTCTGAGCATGGGCGGAGTCTCCTCCTTTGGCTGTGCCCGAAATGCAGGGACTTCTGAGGTCCTAAGGAAAACTCAGCCAGCCAGTGGCACAACCCTTCCTGCAGCCTGTCTGCTGCCTTGGGGTGTCACCCTGGGACTCACTCAGCAGTTGTCTTGCTTTGCTCATTCCCTCCAGAAAGAGGTTCAGAACTCTGAACAGGGGCAGGCCCGGAGCTCCCTCTGTTGTGAAGGAGGCAGGGGACACAGGACCAGAGCCACCAGTAAGTAAGATTGTATGAGTGAGGCAGGATGGATGATATCAGTCCAGGATGATAAAAGCTGAGACTGACCAGGTGACATCACTGTCAGGCTTAGTGGCACTGTTCCCGAGCGAGCAAGCACAGCTTGTGAACACTATGTTTTGTGGGAGGGGGTTGGGGGAGAGCAAGTCCCCATCCTGGTTTTTAAAGGAGCGAAAACGTGGGCTGAAGAGGTGAATAATGTGCCTTGGCGTCTACTGCCTGGCACATCTGCAAGCAGACACTGCGTATTTCCCCACAAATATTTATGAGAAATGTATGTTTTTGTGAAAAAAGCAAAAGGCCTAAGCTTTGCTTTCTAATTTCAGTGTCTGAATCCAACTGTGCCGATTAAAAGGAAAGTGAACACACAACACCCCCGAGGCATTTCTTATGAGCCTGCAGATAGTTTTCTGGGCAAAATCCTTTGGCCTCTCCGGATATCAGCTCGGGGCCAGCTCACTAAGCAGCCAGCACTGGGCTGGGCTGCAGCAGCCTCGGGAGTCTGCCCGAAGCATTTTCGGTCCAGAACCTCCCCCTTCCTTTGCCTCCCCTCGGGGAGTGCTGCCTGCAACCAGGAATCGGAGAGGCCCTGTGCCTATTTCTCTTCTCATTTGCTTCTCTATAACCCGGCACTGCTTTCCGCCAACAGAGTTGAGTTATCACTTGGTGAAGGTGATAACACCGGGCAGACCCACTGTGGGAAGCAACCTGCAAAGAGATGGGTGAAGAAAATGATACTCACTCTCTGGGTGAGACAATGGGACGGGAGTGGAAGAGTTAGCAGGAGCCGCTGAGAAAAGAAAAATGAAGGTGAAAAAAAAAAAAGAGATAAAAGATCATCAAGGCGCACAGATACTGCATGAAAAAAAACAGGAGAGCCAACCTGGGATGTCAGAACAAGAAGCTGCAGTGAGTTAAAATGGGCAAGAAGAACAAGGTGTTCGAGAACAGGTGGCCAGAGGACCAGCAGAGAGCAGGCTCTCTGACTTCAAGCCACAAACTTGTGTGCCTGCCTCGCCTGCAGCAGCTCGGGTGAGGGGCTGGGTCAGGAACAGCTGTAGAGGCTTTGACCCTGCTGAAAACTAACAGCCAACTCAGCAGGGCAGCTGTCCCCAGAGGAGTGGAGAGAGAGGAGTAGAGGAAAGAGGAGACTGGCTTTTTATTTTAGGCATCTCTATGTGTGTTTGTGTACTAGTACAGACATACATTTCTACTGACACATATTTGTAGCAGAACCTCTATGTCTCTCCCTAATTTCAATGTCTGAATAAAGCACAAATGATGGTCCTACTTATTAGTGTTTACTACCGAGCGAGGTTCATGATTGTTTGGCATCTGGATGAGAAAAACCTCTGCTGCCCTCCAAAAAAAAAAATCCCTACATAATGTGATTCTCTGGATGCTGCCTTGTGTACGGAGAGCAATGAAAATTGTATTGTTATTCTCGATAAACAACCAACACTAACCAATGTTAGCACGGAAAACGGGTAGATGCACCCAAAAAACATTTGGACAGCTCTTCAGTTTTCCCTGGCAAATCTCCCCACCCAAATCACAAAACAAAGTCGCTCAGAGAGCTGGATGAAAATTTGGAAAAACATCGCCATGTCCTCAACATTGCCTTGGTCTTCCTTTCACCTCCCAGGTGAGGGGACCTCATTAAAACATGCGAGTACAATGTCACTGGGGTCAGAGCAAGGTAGGCTACTACCTCATCATGATTTGATGGTCTGATTAATTCAGGTAAAAGTGTATGTATCTCTTTCTCTTTTATTTTTGTTTTTTGGCTCGAGTTATTTGCACAATTGTCCATATTATTTTGGCAAAGGGATAGAGTTGTATGTGCTTTAATCACAATATATCACAATGCATTTAACTTGCGCTTGCAATGTGTCATCTGGGGGCTAAATGTGAAAACAAAAATCTCAAGATGCCTCTTAAAAAGGAGATACTCATTCATTTATAATCTTTATGCTCTGGAAGAAATCATTTACTTTGCTTCATGGTACAGAAGCAATTAAGAGGTAAGATTCAGACAATGAAATTCTGAAGGTGAGGCTCAATCATGAGCAATAGATTCATAATAAATTGTGACATCATCTCTTTAGGGCCTCAGCTGCTCTCATAGGGAAGTGCCCACTCCCCTCAGCCCCAAAGCAATCAGAGGTTGTCAGCTTTCCACCTGACAGTATCTTAACAGCATGAAGACTGGTCCTAAAAATACATGTGACAGAGGTACTTTCCTTGGTTGGAGTTCTACCTGTTTGTTTAAAGCCATAGCTTCCTCATGACCTTTACACACATATTTACAAACTGCACACAAAAAACCTCCAAACAGGTAGGCCATGCTTTCTAATCCTGCACCTCAGAAGCAAGAGTCCTTGAGGTATTTGTGCTCTCTGGCTAGTCATATCTGCTCATCCCTGATTTAACATAGTTATGCCTCTGAATGTGGAGAAGTCTATTATGGAACTGAGAAAGCAACCCCAATATTGAGACATCTCAACGAACTTCAAGCGATGAGCTAATGTGCAATGCACTGGCCCTTGCCTAGCTCTCCCACCTAGAGCTGGCAACGATGGCTCTCTGTCCAGTGTGCTAGCTCTGTGATCCTGTACCTTCTCTCTCTTGGGGTGAGGGTGCACCCAGCACCTAACTCTGGGGCTGTGTGTAGTTCTCCTTGTCTAAAAGAAGTTTGCCTTTTAGTTTTTTAAACTATAATTTTATTAAATGATTGAGAACACTGACTGTTCCTGCCACTAGCAATGCCTGCTACTGCATCACTCATGATCTACTTGGAATGGAGAGCTGACCCCATCATTTCCTACTGGGCCTCCTGGGATCTTTGTTAATTACCCATTTTCATATATCAGACAACAACCAACAAGGTCTGAAAGTTAGTAACTCTAACTAATTACAAAAAAACTGAACACTGACTTTCAAAGCAGTAACTGCTATGGGAATTCTCACCTTTATAAGGACAGAGCTGGCCATAAATGAAAACCACTTATAGACTTTGAAGTTCAAGGCCAGTGACTCCAATTCAGTTCTCAAAGCCCAGTTACTGGTGAGAAACTCAAAGGGGCCTCCCCACAGCCTTCCTCTCATTAAGGTAACTAAGCTCACAGGGAGTACTGATAACCCACACGGAGTACTGACAACCCACAGAGTACTGACAACCCACACAGAGTACTGTAACCCACATGGAGTACTGATAATATCTAGAAGAGCTGGAACCGAAGACTCAGGCTAAGGTCAGTGTCAGGACCCGGATGGTGTCACACCCAGAGTGGTGCCTGCCTTCTGCAAGCAGCTGCCAGCCCAGAGCAGACAGCTGTCAGCCCCACCTCATAGCTCCACCTCTTTCTGTCTTCTGCCAGAACTGGTTCATTCAAGAGCCACATCTGCTGAGATAGTTAATTTAACACTTGCTGAAGATCTCAGAACACCTACACCGAGCTACTTCGTTTCTGCTGCTGTTGCAATATTTCTGAATTCATTTTTAAAAGATAAGCTTCCCTGAGTGTCTTTCAGGAACCAGGAGCTTTTTATGAAAAGAGTGTTCAGCTTTCTGAATACCTTTCTTCCAAGTCTCTCTGGGTAATACTCCCCCACTATTCCAAGCGCAGCCTAGAAAGAAGGGGCAGGGCCACAGGGACTGAGGCACGGGCATCTGTGCAGGCTGGGAGATGGAATCACAGCTCTGCTCCCAGAACGGGGGGCCAGTTTCCTGCCACCCTTGCTCCCTGTATTTGCAGTAATAGCTTACACAAGTAGGGGTCCTTCCCAAGGAGAATTACCGTGTCTACATGCTTGGCTATAGAGTTACTAAGTAGCTGGTTAGTTTTCCCAGACATAGAAATGGTGGTTGGCAAGTACCTCCTGCTACACAACAGGGTTGACTGAGCTGGGGTCTCACTCCCTGCAGCCACCTCCGCCTGCAGGACATCCCGGGGCTTGGAATCCAATCTCAGGCTATGCTTTACAACTGCAGCTGCCGCCCCACCAGTCCTCCTGGCACTCTCCAGCTGCCTCCCTGACAGACAGAATGAGGAGCTCATTCTCCAATCTCCTAAGAGCAAATGTGGAAATCCTTTCAAATTCTGTTTCTTGTGAAGGGATTTTGAATGAAGCCTGGTGGTGATGTGGTCACTTTTCTGGCATCCTGGCTAAAGGTGAGGCGGGGCTCTAGTGTGTCATTAGGAGACCACCTGCAGAAGCCCACTCACTACGCTTGGCTTGGCAAACATCACTGCTGTCATAGCATGTCACACACAGAAATTAATACATAAATACAACTTCAACACACACGGAAGTTTCAAGCTCTAAAACAGGAAGGAGGCTTAGCTTCCGGGAGTAACCTATGGACATTAACCAGCTGTGAGGTGGGACAGTTAGGCTTCGCCAGTGTGGTTAGGCCCGGGCAGCAGCATCTACTTCAGCCTCTAGGGGACAGAAGGGACTGGAACTAAATTAAGAACTGGGACAGAGATGCTAATGCCATGGGAACAAGTAGCGAGGTATGAAGAGGCACTTATGTGGAACAGGGGTATCTGCATTTCCCATGGAACACAGATGGAAAGGAAGGACAAGAGACAGACCCAAGGGGAGGGGGGGAAGATGTAAAAGAAATGACTAGATTCCGCAGAACACAGGGCGCTGGAAACTCAAATGATCAAATTACTTCACATCCAAAAAGAAACAATTCCTGTGGGGGAGATAAGACTGGCTTTCTATTTCTGGGGAGAGTCCAGGGATCTCTTTCCAGGTCCCCAGCTTCAAAGAGAAGGAAGCAAGGATCCGGTCTGCTTTATAATTCCTGGAGTCAGCAGCCCTGGGGCTCTGGGACCACCTGTGGAGTCTGTTCTCTGGCACCTTCTCTGACGGGATCTCCTGCTCCTCCCAGGGCGGGCCTGGGCAGGGCTACCTAGAGCAGGGCTTGCCCCAGAGCTGCTGTCCTGGGGACTAGAGAAAGGAGAGCAAGCAGAGTGAGGGAAAGTGGGGATGATGGAGGGAAACAGAAATGCATCCCTGAATGGAACCAGGAAGAAGCACCTGGAAGTTTGGGAGGGAGACCCTGAGGTGCGCTCCTGGTGTGGGAACAGAGGGGAAGCTGAAAGTCAAAGGCCTCTGCATCCTTCTCCCTTTGCTTTGCTGGGATTATGCCTCTGCTTCTCCCTCCTCTGTCCCACAGCACCGCTGCTTTGTTCTCCATTAATATCTCTGCTGCATCGATGGTCCCACAGCTCATTATGGAACTGTCACTGTCGTTACCCTTGCCCTTCAAGTCACAGGTGCTGAGGGCCTTTGTGACCTGTGTCAAAAAGCAAATCCCCACCCCCCCACTGCACATGCCCTCTAACAACCCCAGCTGACAGCCTATGACAGTGTCACCAAGACCCCGAGAAAGAGGATAAAGGGACTGGGTGTCAGTCATCACTGAGGGCCAGAGAGCTGGGAGGTGGGCCCACCTCCCGCAGAGGCATCTGGAAGACAAAAGGCTGTCATCTGGATAATGGGTGGCCAGCTCAGGGTCCCCCACAGCCCCAGGAGAAGAGAGTGGGGGGTGGGGGGAGGCAGGGCAGCAGGCTTTACTTACGGACTGGCTGCGTCTTGAACTCGGAGACTGCACTGATCTCGCCCAGACCCTTGCCATTGAGGGCTGCCAGTCGCACCGTGTACGTGGTCTCAGGCTTCAGGCCCATGATGGTGACAATGCCCTCCATGCTGGCTGTTGTGAGAACATGGGAAGGATCACAAATGATAGAAAGCCTACCGGTGAACTGGTACAGCCGCTGTGGAAAACACTGTGGTGGGTCGTCCAACAATTAAACACAGAAATATCATCAGATCCAGCAATTCTACTTCTAGGTCTACACACAGAAGGATTGAAGCAGAGATATGGACAGATATCTGCACACCCACGCTCACAGTAGCCAGAAAGCAGAGGCACCCAGGTGTTCCCGGACACATGAATGGAAAAACAAGATGCGGTGCACACGTACAATGGAACACTATTCAGCTTTAAAAAAGAGTGAAATTCGGACACGTACTACTCAAGTGAACCTCAAGGACATTATGCTACAGGAAATGAGCCAGACACAAAAGGGTAAATACCGTATGATTCCACTTACAGGAAGTATCTAGGAGAGTCAACTATAGAGAGACAGAAAGGGGAGTGGTGGCTGCCAGGAGCTGGGCAGAAGAGGAGGGGACTTAGTGTCTCATGGGTACAGAATTTGGGATGATGAAGTTCTGGAGATGGACCCTGGTGTTGGTTGCACAACAATGAGACTGGACTTAATCCCACTGAACTGTACACTTAAAACGGGTTAAAATGGTGTATTTATGTTGTATATATTTTACTACAATAAAACATAAAGACATGCGGAGTAGGGCCTCGCCAAGTTGTCACACTGAAGCAGGGCTTCTGCATGGCAGGTGGTTGAGATGGCCCCTCCATCCTGCAGGGTCACGGGATCCAGGCTCTGAAGTGCCAGGGTACGGAGGCCAACAAGGCTACGTGAGACGTGACCGGGTGTGCCCTAATTCGATGTTGCAGCATAGGAACATGAACAGATGGCAGGTGACGGCACCTGGCCAGCCTCAGTAGGTGAGAGTGGTATGCTTCCCTACCTATGGGCAGGCAGTCAGGGTGCCTGGATCTGGTGAATGCCCAGTGAATGTGTGCCCAGCACCAAGGGACTCCTCATTCTGAAGGAAACAAAGACTTTTCCAGACTCACCTTCCTTGGCATCGTACCACTTGGAGTGCCACATTTCCTCGCCCACTGCTTTCCACTCAGCCTTGTATTTAAGGATGGGCACCCCACCTGTGGCCTCTGGCTCATCAAACTGCACCTGTGCTGTGCTAGAGTATGGCTCCACCTGGTCGATGGATGGTGAAGATGGGGTGTCTGTGGGAGAGCACATATGAAGGCCCAAGTGAGCCTCAGGTAGGACACAACTCGCAATCATGTACCTGCCATTTCTGTTCAGTCTTGAAATCTTGTTGCCTGTATCCTATTCTCCCAGCGCCCAACTCCCCCACCCCCATATGATTACCTCCCCACATGCTCCATGCCCAGATCCTCAAGCCTCCATTGCACCCTGCTTCCTCCTCAGGCTTTGCTGACCTGAGGCCTCTCTTCTCACTCTCCCGGCATCACTAAAGGACACAAAATAGGCCAGGAAGGGTTTTTAAAGGGTGGTTCAGTGGTAAGGGGTGCTCACCTGCTTGGACAAGGATGAATTCCAGAGACTCCTGTCCAATGCGGTTCACTGCGGTGCAGTTGTAGTTTCCAAAATCATTTTCAGAGTCCGGGGTCACCTTGAAAAAAAGAAGGGGTTCTTGGTTTACATGCCCATGGGATGGTCACAGCCTCAGGCCCTTATTTATTGGATTAAATTAGCAAATAGTAGAAGTAGTAAAGCAGGAATTCTTGGCTCCACCCAAGCTATAGCCAGAGAGGAGAACAGCAGGGGCCGTGGAAGAAGACACTCTGCCTTCCAGGCCCTGGTGTTGCCCAGGAGACACAGGGGCTGGGCCGTAGCTCGAGTTCTTCTCTGGCTAACCGCTCCTAGCTCAGGACATGCTAGAGAAGCAAGAAGGGTTTTAGCTGCATTCAGGAACCCATCTATAGCCAAACTGCCTTTTCCACCCTGCCGCTGGCCCTGCCCCGCTCACCTCCAGGTAGCTGGCAGAGGGGCCATTGTAGATCTTGATGTTGCTGTAGTTGGAGCTTGGCAGCAGCTGACCATCTCGGAACCACGAGATCGTGGCACTGGGGTAGGCAAACACCTCGCAGGTGATGTTCACCTGGTTCCCCTCCCAGGTGTACACAGCCACGGGGCCCTGAAGCTTGGGGGCATCTGCAATGAGTGGCAAAGACTGTCAGGAAGCCTGCCACTGTCCTGGAACCCTACAGATGCTGTCTCTTGCCACCGGGAAGGGTGTGTGCCCTGAAGCCAAGCTATGCCAGGGTACAGTAGAGATCGGGCTGTTCTGGCAATTCTGTGAGCTGACGGGAAGATAGAGGGCATGCAGCAGGTAAAGAGGCTGGGGATGGTATGAGGAGGTGACCTGGGGACTCAGGGAAAGGGACAGGAGCTTGCCCAGTGCAGGTTGGGTCCTGGCTGCTCTTTTCCCCGTCCATCCCAACCCTCCATGGCCTTCCCTCCCAGGTCTTTCCACAGTGACTCCTCACATTGTACTTCGAGGTACATGGACTGGGAGTCCTGGCCGATAGTGTTCCTGGCAGTGCAGATGTACTCTCCAGCGTCTGTGTACTGGATGCTCTTCAGGGTCAGGGAGGACACACGGGCGTGGCTACGCACCACCATGTGCCCATCCAGAGTCTGCTGGGAGGGAACAGAGAGTGTCAGAATCCAGGGCAGGATGGGAGCTAGGAGACCAGGCCATCGCTTGTGTGACCAGTCTCATACCCTCACCTCTCTCTGCCAGTGTCTGAGTCTCACTTTAAGTTCCAGCTACAGGGGGAGGCTGCAGAGAGCACCAGGGGAACGTGGGTGTACCCCAAACAGAAATGGACTCAGTTTATGTCAAGCAGCCTAGCTGTGTGCCAAGACTGGTGTGGCTCAAGGTCCCTTAAGACGATTTTGTCTGGCACATCTCAAATGGAAGCAAAGCCCCAAGCAGAAACCACCTTGCCTCATGGGATTCTGGGAAACCTGTATTCCCCTCTTTTCCTCCCAGCAGTCCACCCATCTGACAGTGCCACAGTGCATGCATGCACACTGGATGGGAAATCTGAGTGTGCCAAAATACAAGAGGTTATATAAGAAACCCATATTTATGCAGAGGCCTCACTTTCCTGGATGCTTAAAATTAAAATTATTTTATCTTTTTTAAAAAGCCCAACAACTCAGAAGTCAGGAGCTGTTGAGCTGGAATGAAGGGTAACTGGTTCCTCTCTCCAGGGACAGTGGTACAGAGAGTCCCAGGTAGATCTGGGGTCCTTAACCCCATAGTCACCGTTGATACTATAATCAGCTTTCTGATACTTCAGAATTACTGGTCAAAAAGGAAATAAGCATATGATCCCCAGGCAATGGGTCCTGGAATATTTCCCTGTGTTTCCCTCCCTTGACACTCTAGGTGAATGGTTCCTGGTCTAGGAAAAGTCTGGGCATTTGCCCAAGTTCAGATCCTCCAGAGGTGGGTAATCTAAAGGAGTCTTCCTGTTCAGAGGCTGGGTTACACTCTTATCTCTAGCATGTGGTATTCTGTAGAGATGGATGGTTGAGTCATCTGCATTTGTATGGCATCTGTTAACCAACAGGTTTGGGCCTTTAAAGAATATAACAACACCTGACTTCAGATTCTTTCCATGTTCTGGCTTAGAAGCCCAAACCCAGGATTGCATGTCACACAGCAGCCAGTTGGGGCAGTCAAAAGCAAGGCAGCCGGGCCTGTGAGCTGCCTCAGCAGATCTGTCAAAGACGTCCTTGTTCCATCAGAGATAGTTTGAGTCCAGCTCAGCCACTTAAGCCCCATCACATTTCACAACCATTTCATGAAATGGTTATACTGACAGCTGCACTTTTTTCTCCCCTTCTAGCTGGCCTCTTTCCTCAATCTCACTATCTGGAAATCTTTCTAATTTAATGATGTCAACAGACCAGTAGATGGCCCTCCGTAAAATTTTGCAGCAGCTCAGGAACAGAATTGATGATGGAATTATTTTCAGGTGCCCAGTTCTCTCTCCGGGGGGACATAGTTAGTGTGACTGGGCCCTTTGAAATGTTTACTTTGGCACCAGGACAAAGTCTGGGAGGGCCACCTACAGCCATGCAGACCAATCGTCGCACTGATAATTCAGGCTCGGGAGGAGAAAGCAGATGAAATCTGGGCAAGAAGGAGAAGATCATTATGGCAAGAAGACCCTGTTTGGCAAGAGTATGAAGAGCAGTTATAATTAATCCTCTCATATGGACATTTTTGTCTTCTTCCAGGTGAAAGTGTGAAGGCTTTTCAGAGCTTACAGAATGAAATTGGCCAGAACCCAAGCTGCCTTCTGGATTTACTGTCTTCATCTCTGAGTGAGACAAATAGGCAGGAACAGAACTTCTGAGCCCCAAGGTGGCACTCATTTGAAAGTCAATGATGTCCAGATTGAGATACTGAAGATAAGGGCACTTCTGGAAAACCAGGTGAGGTATTTGCCTTTCTGACAATAAACCCATTACTTCCGCTTATGATAATAATTCACTTAACATCTTCTTAATGCTCCCCAATAAACCTCAGCTCCTCCAGGCCTAGGTCAAAATGACAGGGAAGGTGTACATGTCCAGGCAGAATGAGGTTTGTAGCTGCTCAGAAGTAGCTAATAATTGACCCTCCTCTCCCTTCCCCAGTCCCGGACTTTGAAGCAATAAAACACCCAGCCCGTGACAGCACCGAGCGATTCCTGTGCCCCAGGAAGGAGCATTTCAGTGAGATGTGCACTGAGCTGCAGTCCCTTTGACATGAGAAGGTCTGAGGCAAAGAGAGCTGATAATGAACTGGAGCTGATGATGGCAGTGAGCTCATGTACAGAAACTAATATCAGCGCCTGGGGACAGGCAGTCCGCTTCAAATATTGAACAGCATTACATATTTATAGCCTTGACCCGAACACATGAGTTACGTGTTCTGAATAATTATCATTTCTGAAAAAACTAAGAGGAGAGATAATACCGCCTATGCGATTGCTTGCTAGATTCTACGTTTATAGCATCACAATACCAAAGTTTCACCTGGAGAAGAGAGAAAAGCTTTTTTTTTTTCTTTCTTTTTTTCTTTTTTCCAAAAAATATTCATAGATTAGGTCCTTGAATCTCATCTGAAGTATACTGGTTTTTATTTCACTATCTGTCACTCAGTTGCACAAATCAGGTAAAAAGTTATATTCATGACCTATGAGGAGGATCTGGGGGGTGTAAGAATTAAAATCAAAATATGAATATTTAGCTTCAATTTTCAAACTAAGTCCCAAATTATCCCAAATGAAGCAAGGAATCAGAAATTTCAAAGGCTAATGGCTACCGACTTTAAAAAACAACAACCATAAAGCCATTTGTGCCGAATCATTCTAAGCTCATCAATTTAACACTGTGAAAGTAGCATAGACACATTTAACAGTGTGGGAGAACCAATGAGACATGTCATTTGCATTGCTTCAAGATGAGATGTGAAGTCATCATTTACCAAGACCAATCATTATAAAATAAGCGAGCAACAAGATGAGTTGAGCTGGAAGGGAAAGGGCCAAGTGGGTTTTAGATCACTAAACCCGTGCCTTTATGATCCGAAGCCACATCAACCAAGTGAGAGTAAAAAAATTTCACCATGTCACAACAATGGGCCTGGGAATGGGGAGATTTAAGTGTAATTACCTGGCTGTGATTTTCCCAGCACCATCAAGAGAACAAGACCCAGTCTTTAGAAAACAATAAGGATTTGTTCACCCGCTCCCAACACAGCTTGCTTGCTCACCCTAAAAGGACACTATTGCTAAGTAACAGCTACCACTACTGACCTATTCTTTAATCTAAGCTACTAATTAGTTTAGCATGTCTGGTTGTTAACTATAACGGTGAGTTAAACCGCAATGCTTTCAAAACTAAGGACTGGCTAGTGGTCAGGTAAGCTATACCTCTTGCTTCTCTGGTCGAGTCCACGAAGCCTGGAGAGAACAAGATATAAAACACAACAAGAAAGCAGTAAAAGTTTACAACATTGCTTTAGAAAACCAATGAATCACACTGTACTCCGTGCACATGCAGCTTCTTTCCAATTCAGAACTTTTCCAAGGCCCACGCCCAATGGTGTGCTTATTACCCAGCTTAATCAAGGACTTGGCTTCTGTTTAACTCCCCCCCTTCCCCCCCACCTTATGCACATTAGGCTGTATCATTCAAAGGTATAGGCTTCCCTCAACTCCAATAGACACACACACACAGACACTAGCAAACGTATTATAGGCTGCTCCTAAGCCAGAATGTCTTAATGTCCCTCGTAGTATCAGGTGACACTACAAATTCTAACCATATAATTTATAGATACTTATAGAGTGAGTTTCCTCCTTTGGATTTTATAGGACAGCTCATCACAAATACACTAATACTATTTTGTGCTCATGCATTTTATAACTCTGCATGCATACTATAAAAAAAAATCAAATTTTTATTTTAAAAAAGGAACAACAACAAAAATGCCCAAGACACATTAGGAATGAGAGGTATGAGGTTCTTAAGACAATGGGTCAGGAAGCCTGGAGGATACTACACTGAATGCATGTGGGCTCCAGCAGGATCCATCTTCAGCAAACCCGGCACTCCAAAGAGTGAGCCAACTTAGGGAAACACAGGTTAGGTCTTTTCCTACCCACATCTATATTTATTTATTTTTTTTAATCTGGCACTTGAGCATCTACTCTGCTTACAGTTTTTCTGTTTTCATATTGGGAGTCAGAGACATCATACATGCATCACTCTTTCTATTGGATGGCATGACTGACTGATTGTCCCTAGTGTTCAGATAGAAACAGAATAGAGAAGATGCCAGACATTGCAATGCAACCCAGGGAATGCAAATGAGTTGGTAAACATTTAGTAGGGGTCCACTAAATGCAAGGAGCTCCTGTGAGATATGAGGATGAGAATGCTGGATTACGTCACATGAAGAAGAAAGTGAGGACAGAGGAACATGCATAGGCCAAAGAAGCAGTCGGCCAACATGTCAAATGTGGTTGCCAATTCCACATCACTTAGAAGCTGGTTTGTTACACACCAGGGCTGCTTGAACCAAGATAGTTTTTTAGGAGCAATGTCTATGGAGTTGTTTGTTTTTCAGATCTGATCTTCTTGTGTATCTCCCAAATTCTTATGGCTTTGTGGCATTTAGAATAAGCAGTTGCCAGTAACATAATTATTCTAGTTGCTTGACCCCCTAATAACTTGTGAAGACATGTGCCCTGCTTTAAGACAACCTGATATGCAAATACACAATAAAATAAATGAGAATATGACTAGTACTATTCCAAAAATTGTTAGCTCTATGTTTTTTTCCATATTCATGTTTTATTACCTTACAAATCTGTAGGGATATGTATATAAACTAAGGTGGAACTTCCCTTCACTGTTCTAAAGTATTCCCTGCTAGAAATTTGTCCACAGGGTGGATAAGCCAGCCTCTGGTTGCTCAATGCAGATACCTTTCCCAATTTTAAAAGTGAGCACCAAGTTTGTATTGAAAGAGGAATTCTTCCTGGTGATAAAAAGTTTGCAGAGAATTGAGAATTTCAAAAAATATCTCCTATTTGTGGGCTACTTGGGAAGCTCAAGATTCAAGGTTCATGAATGCTTTTCCTTTTTTCTGTTTATCTCTTCTGATCTCAACTCTTCACCCCTCTCCTTTTCCTTAAATATTAAAGCTTCGTAAGCTTTTCTTCACCTGTCATTTCGAAGGAATATTCAAGTTAGGGCACTACAAATTTGTTCTGCCACAGATAGATGATGAAAATTATCATCCCAAAGTTTTATCCAGAATGTAAATGGTACTTGGAATTTAGCACCACTCACTCAAGTACCTGGCAATAGTTAAATGAATCTAGTTAGGAAGAGTAGTGAAATGCTGTGGACACAATATGAACACTAACACTTGCTTTGTATCTGCATTATCAATGATCTCAGTACACAATGATCTAACTGACCCATTGTCATGTTCAAATATGTTTTGATTTTGGTCAACATAATAGTGAGCACTAATAAATGAACTAACTTTAAGACAAATGATCTACCCTAATGATATTAATGACCCAAGTTTAACCCAGCTATTATCAGTCATGGAGTGAGACTAACTCAACCAGCTGACGCTTAGTAGGTATATAATAATCTCCAATTAGTGACTGGACTAAAAACCCAGAGACAAGATCATAGATAGGGTGTGACATGCTGGTTCACTATATTGTTTTATTTTTATTTTTACTTTTTAATGAAGAAAAACAAGTATTCCATTAGAAAGTCATTATCTATGTGTTTATGGCTGTAAGCCTTTTCTCTTCTCTTCTCAGTGAAGCAAAAGACCTAGATGCTTTAATTAGCTTATCTTGTGACTAACTTTATTAAAGAGATCATTAAGCCTTCCAGGGAAGTCATTAAAGTCACAAGAGGGCACCATGGTTTTCAGAGCTCCACCTTCTTAGCCAATGACCCAGTGGGAAGCCCTAGTGGCACTCTACAGGCTCTCTACTGGACTATGTCCCATTTAACATTTTTATCAGTAATTTGGACAAAGATATTTTATTTTTTTATTTTTTATTTTTTTAAAATATATTTTATTGATTTTGTACAGAGAGGAAGGGAGAGAGATAGAGAGTTAGAAACATTGATGAGAGAGAGTCATCGATCAGCTGCCTCTTGCACACCCCTTACTGGGGATATGCCCGCAACCAAGGTATATGCCCTTGACCGGAATTGAACCCGGGACCTTTCAGTCCCCAAGCCAACGCTCTATCTATTGAGCCAAACCGGTCCCGGCATGGACAAAGATATTTTAAGTGTTCATATAAGGTTGTAGCAATTAGCCAATGCAAATGCTAGATGACAGCTGCATGGGGAAGACCACTGCATTGCCTGTCATTGGGTCTTGTGCTTGGACTGTGGTCTGATTTCTAAAACTCATTATTTTCAATATATAAATAAAATAGGGAGCATGTGGATAGAAATTCCCTAGACCAACAGACCTCTAAAGGATAGTTCTTATGAAAGCCATTCTTGACTGGTTGGAAAGATAAACTCAAAGGTTTTCCTCCAGCCTTAGAGTGTTTATACATGTGGGATTTTGGTAATCACATGATTAGAAGTGGCTACTGTTATTTAGGGGGGAGGAGATTTGGTGCTACATATCTTGCAATACCATTCTTTATAGTCCCAGTAAAGGAAGAGTCTTCCCAATTTTCATAATGACCCCATTGAGAAACATTGCGTTGTAACCAGCAAAATATAATTTCTTAAAAAAAATAGAAATGAAATTCTGCATGATTGGTTAAGCAATCAATTGCATAAGAACAGGATAGGAGGCATGTGGCTTAAATGCAGTTCATGTAAAAGAAAGCTGAACATTTTAGTTGACCACAAGCTCAATACAAGGCAACAGGATTAGGAAACTGCTAAAGGGGCTAATGCAAGTCTAACTGCATTACAGCATCCAGATCAAGGGAGTAATAACTCATGGAAGTCTTCATCATTGACTCTGGGCACCACAAAATTTTAATGGAGCACCAGTGAGCTGATACCATCTATTAAGGGGCAACTATCGATAGTGAGGGAAAGAACAGACTGAAGAAAACTAAGTAGCTGCTTTAAGAGTTCTCATACAAAGAGTGGCTGCCAGAGTGGAAAGGCTGAAAAGCAGACCTCCTGGTCATCAGTGTTGGCTGACTGCCCTGCGGAGGGCTGACAATGTCACGTTTCAGGCAGGGCTGAGTGACTGTCTGGCAGATATGTTAGAAAGGGGTGCCAGGTAAGACTAAATAAACTCAAAGAGTGGCTTCCTTCCAATCTTCTGTGATTCAGGCCTTTTATGTGATCTAATTCTCAGGAGCCTTCCTCACCTTGGCAGTTCAATATGATTGTCTATTCTTATCTGCTTAGCATAGCATCCCGATTTTAAAAAGAAAATTGTTTCCTTCCATTCCTACAATTCAGTGACTCTAATCATGCCAGTACCTAATTACATATCATGCAACTTCAGATGGAGTTGCACATGAGGAGCATCTACCAAAATAAAAGTGAAGCTTACTATCCAGAGTCCAATCCCCCAGGAAGAGGCCACCTTTTTTTCTTAAGTATTAGCTGTCCATGGTATGAAGCTGGACATTGTACCTCTTTGATAGAGAATTAATATAAATGGCAACTTTTCTGTAAGGGCTTCATTAGGTAGGTGTGTTCATCTGGTGTCGCAGCACTGGCCAGCGTGGAGGACTTGTTCTCACATTGATTTATTTGTGTTCCAGTACTGTCACATCAAGTAAACCATTGTTGCTATGGCAAAACAGCACCATCTATGAGTATATCAAGCCTCCTGGACTTGAGAAAGTCTCTGCTGAACATCTTTGGCCTCAGCATTTAGTGAGTGTGAGTGTATATTAGTACCTGTTATTTGTTCTCATTCTGTGAAAATGAATTCATGGATACAAGCTAGAGAACCAAGCTACTAAAGGAGCTGAGGTAGGCAGAAATCTTAATAACTCTTCTGGTCTAGCTTAGCTATTGAGCTATTCCTAGAAAAGATATAGAATTTAAAAGCATCGTTCATCTGGATAGATGTTATCTCTGTCCTTCACTGAGGTCAAAGATACACACTGGGCCATTCTGGACAAATCTATTATGGGAAAACCTGTTAGGCAGCAGTCCTGTGGTTTAAGCCCTGGAATGCAAGTTCAATCCACACAACACACATGATGGTGGCAGAAATCTGAGCTGAAGGTTTAACCCCAATGTTGATAAAGAAAGCATCAAGTAAACACCACATTTCTTACTCCAGTACAATATCAAACAGCATATGCAAGTTTCAAAAATACTTAGCAGTTCCTTTGTTGAGTTAAGCCAAACTCAACTCTGGAGGTAAAACTTGCAAAAAATAATGGGTTTTGGAATGGAATTTCTGTTCCTTTTGACTCAGCCTTGCTTTCAATTAGTGGGACAGAAATCAATTCTTCAAGTGCAGATCCAAGTTTGGTTCTAGTGTCTCACACTGTCTCTTTTGGGTTTACTTGAGTTTACCCTCTCTTAGGATTTCCTTTAGGTAAGCAGAAGAGTGAAGATCTATACTTCCTGACATTTTGGTCAATAAGTAATCCATTACAAATGTCCTTTGAATCTAAGGCCATTACTTCTGAGTAGTTGACAAAGCCCATTACTACAGGATATATGAGGTGAGACTGGAGAGGTGCCCGAAGATGGTTTAAGTCGCTTTAAAACCGAGCTTCTTTCCTCTCCTGCATTTGGCCCACTTGGTAGCAAAAGGCAGTACATTGTGGGGGTCCCCTCAATTTTTTAAAAATATATATATTTTATTGATTTTTTAGAGAGAGAAAGGGAGAGGGATAGAGAGCTAGAAACATCGACGAGAGAGAAACATCGACCAGCTGCCTCTTGCACACCCCCTACTGGGGATGTGCCGGTAACCAATGTATTATACATGCCCTTGACTAGAATTGAACCTGGGACCTTTCAGTCCACAGGCTGACACTCTATCCACTGAGCCAAACCGGTTTTGGCAAGGGTCCCCTCAATTATTACATATTGTTCATAATAAAGATAGCTTTTTGGAGGCTTGGAAATCCACATGTTTTCAAGTGAAACCTCCCCAGTCATTTGAATTTGTCAGGAAGTTTGCTATGTTGTTCTTACACTCCCAGCAAATACACTGTAGAGCCTAGAGCAATCATCATCACTTGGAAACTGCTAATTATTTTTGCCTTTAGACCAACATGATATACAAATGTGATCGAGAATACAGGCAGACACAAAGGCAACCAAGCTTTTGTGCACAGAGTGCTTGTATAGCATGAGTATACAAAATACGAGAAGAATTGACAGGCTCTGACCCTATAACTTCCAGGAGACATTTCCTTGGCTCCTGAGTTGAGGAGGACATCACCTGGAGCACCAGGACGTCAGTTTGCCTTGTTCCCCACAGCCCCAAATCCTGCGTTTGAAAATCACTACCTTCTTCCTCCCCAGAGAGCTACCTTGACCAATACCCACTAACATCACACCCCTGCCAATCTACGCAATGAACTGCACCCCTCCCATTGTCAGAGGATGTGGAGCAGGATGCGTTCAGGTGGGGGGAGGAGGAGACCACAGAACCTGCACTCCAGTGACCAAATCCCCCGTCTGGCTCACCGAGGAGAATTGGGCACTGGGCAGACTCAATCCGCCTCGAGTCTGCGTGCCATGCCCTGAGACTCTTGGGTGGCGACATTATACCTTTTCTTCGCTGCTGATGTTTCGGGTGGAAGTTCTCCAGGTGATGGAGGGAATGGGGTCTCCTGAGGCTTCGCAGGTAAGAGTGACCTGCTCCTCTAGTTCCATGGCGGTCTGGTTCTCTACATAAGTGATTTTGGGTTTTGCTGAAAAGACAAAACATCCCTGTAATGTTTATCTAACCTTCTCAGTGCCCCAGGTTTAAGTGGTAGCATGAACAAGGTTATCTACTTCCTAAGTATAGGCTGTACTCCAAGGCATGCACACAGCAACACCACAGTGATAATAAAAACAGCACCCTGTGTAGTAAGAGCGCTAAGTGAGGGCAATGGATGCAAGAGGCATGGAGCAGAGAAAGAGCACTCCTCTGACTGGCGTCTTGGTGGGGACAGAGCTTTTGGGCTGGGCCATAAGATTTTCAGTAGGGGAAACTTTGGGGTGAAGACTGAATCATTCCATGGGTAAAACTGGTTGAAGGAAAGCAAAAAAGCAAGAATACATGAGGAGAGGGTTGGGAAGAGAGTCACATGTTTGTGTATCAAAGCAGAGCAGGCAATGCCACATCTTGGCATAGAGTCTTGACCACCTGTTAAGGTTCTTGCTTGAATTCTGTATGGAGGCAGGTCGAGGCCATTGACAGTATTTGATCAGAGAGATGAAATGGTAATTTGCATGATAAGAAGGTTAATCTAGAAATAATTCAAGATGATTTAGCAAGGAGAAAACCTTGAGGCGGGAAAACAACTTGGGAGCTCTGGCAGTGCCCCAGCTGTGATGTGACAGTTCTGATTGGGCCATGTCAGGGGGACCAAAAGGTCGTCTTCGAGAGAGATGCTAAAGAAAAGCTTTATGGGAAGTGGCAAGTGAGCAAGGATAGGAGGGATGGCAAGAAACAAAAGAAGGAATGAGGAGGAGCCAGATGATGCTGAGATTCGTAATGCCTACGAAAGTTGTGTGGCATTAACTCAAGTACGGAAATGTGGTGGGTAACTTGGGTTGTGGAGTGGGCTACGGGGGAGGGAAGGAGATGAGTTGAGACGAGTTCATTTTCCAAATGTTTTGGGTAATGCAAGAAAGCACAAGCATTCAAAGCTGAGTTAAATGTTAACACATTAGAGAAAATTGAATTTTCCCAATTTAAAACAATTATACTCTGAAATTGCTAAACCTTCCATAGAAAAGATAACACAGCACAAGTGTAACTCATTTCACTAATAGAGAAAAGGCCAGACTAGATAAACAAATGAAAAATAAGTAAATTAAAATTATGGCTAATTTTTGAAAAAAAACTGCATTTCCTTTATATTCAGATTTACCCAGTAACCTCATGTAGGCTAACAAACTACTGCCTACATACAGCCTCCAAATTGAGGCCCTTGATTCTGCTTTAATAAACAGAAAATAATGATAGAGCTTTGCATTCTCTGTAGAAAATATCTGCTTCTATATAAAACTACCACATAGTTCAAATACTCTCCTGAAGTTAATCTGTACTAACAGCCAGCACTGCAAATCCTTGATTGCCAGCCAGCACATGGGCTCATTTCAGCCAGTGTGGCCCAATGATCATGCATTTGAACCCATGGAGCCCATAAATAAGGTCTTCCTCTAGGAAGGCTTTGTGTCTACCCTGATAAATAGGACTTTGAGAAAGGCCACAGCTCATCTTGGATGCAGTAAGTGTTAAGTGCTGTTGAGAAGGCGGTATGTACTCAGTTACATACTGAATTAATCTGAATCAAACTGATACACTGTTTATAAACCCAATTGTTATTAATGAATAAATAAGATTCATCTGTGATTAGTAAGTCCAATTACATATAGATGCTTGATTTTCAAAGCTCTGTGTTTACAAACATGGATCAGTTCTCCAGATCAGGCTAAACAAGCAGGTCCCATGCAGCTTCCCAGGCATGAACCTCTGACACCTGCACTAGTAGTACTATCTACAATGGACTAGCTCATGTGTGGAAAGCTGTATGTGTGTGTGTTTTTTTTTTTAAAATATACTTTTATTGATTTCAGAGAGAGAAAGGGAAAGGGAGAGCTATTGTAGACACATCAATGATGACAAAGAATCATTGATCAGCTGACTCCTACAGGCCCCCTATTGGGGATCGAGCCTGCAACCCAAGGCATGGGCCCTGCAGAGGAATAGAACTGTGACCTCCTGGTTCATAGGTTGACACTCAACCACTGAGCTACACTGGCTGGGCTTAGCTGTGGTTTTTAAAAAGATGAGCAGAGAGAGTAGAGAGCCATTAGGTTGAACATTTTCCCACCACAAATCCTTTTTCCAAGGTCAGGTCAAAATTTACTTCAGTTTTAAATGCATGGGAATTAACTGAGTTCATAAAGAAGTGAATAGAGGTGTGAGGACTCTTTTCATGACTTTTATGACACTGTTTCACACAGGCCAGGGAAAAAAGAAAAGGGAAATGGAAGCACTGGTCACTAACATGTACTAAGGGCCTATGATGAGTCTGGTTGTGTTGGGTGTGCTAGAGAAAAGGTCTCTCACCTTCACTAAGTGTGTGCTCTGCCATCTTGGATTCTACACACTCAGTGGAGGTGAGAGACAAGCAATTCCCAAAATAAATATGTAAATGAGGCTAGCTCAGGTACTGATCAGTACCATGAAGAAGACACAGTAAGATTAATGGGGTGGTAATACAGTTGCTGCATGAGGCAGGGCAGTGAAGGGAGGACTCATTGAGAAGGTGGTTGAGTTGAGATCTGAATGGTGGAAGAGGAGAAGCAGCTGGGAGCAGATCTGGACGAATGACATTCCAAGCAGAAGGAACATCACGTGCACCGTCCCCGAGGCAGGGAACAACCGTGCTATGCCCCGAGGGACAGAAAGGAGGCCTGAGGCTGTTGAATGTGGAACAAAGTGGAGGAAGGATGAGATGGGGAAGGAAGATGGGCTAGCTCAGGTTTACTCTCGTGCCCAAGGTAGGAAGTCTAGATCTTATTCTGATTGCAATAGGAAGTAATGGGAGGGCTTTAAACAGAGGAGTGACACTAAGGTCATTCTCACACTTAAGGAGTGAGCAGGAGGGGATGAAGGGGACCCATGAAAGGTAGGCAGGGAGACCAGCTAGGAGGCTGTCTCACTGACCAGGGGAGCAGGAGGGTGGCTTGAACCGGGGCATAGGTGACAGAGCTGGCACGAAGAAGCTGCATTTGGGATAGATTCTGAGGCAGAGTGGACAGGCCCTGTGTATGGATTGAGTGTTCAGGGTAAGGGGAATTTAGTGACCTTGATTCCCACTGTCCTTACCAAAAACTTTGAGGTGGATGGACGCGTCTTGCTCTCCAGCTTTGTTCTCGGCGATGCAGACATACTCAGCCTCATCGTTCTTATCCACCCTCCTGATGGTCAGCTCTGAACTGTCGTCACTAAAGACATACTTCTCGTCTTCCTCATTCTCTATCAGATCCCCATCCCTACAGGGTGCACAAAGACAAAGTACCATGATTTTGACCACAGAGGGAAGATGTTTGTTTTTAATTTGTTTTCATAAAATGCAGTCTGAGCCCATGAGAAAGGCTCAGTCTTCACAAAAAGTTAAGACATCAAATTGTATTTCCAAATATTCCTTAGATTTCTCCACCCAAACTTTTGATTCTGTCCCTGGGCTATAAATTGCACTCTCAGACACACCAAAGAGGGCCTCTCTACCCATGGACTGAGGATGCAGGAGGAATCCAATGCACAAGGCAGGAGAACCGTGCAGGAGAGTGCAGCCTGTACTTGGAGTCAAGGACATCCCCAGGCAGGCTGTCCCTGCTCCATGGCAATGCCAACCCGGAGCAGGCCCTGTGCTGGCTCCTTCTCCACTAGTCCCTGATCCAACGCAGGAGCCAGAGTCTTACTTTGTCCAGCTCATGGTGGGCTCCGGGAAGCCTTCAGCATCACACACCAAGGTGACAGACTGGCCGAGGTTGGCGGTGGCATTCACGATGCTTTGCCTGGCCTGGACGGTGGGCGGTACTGAAGGAAAGAAAGGCTGTCAGGGGTGGTTGTGAAAACTTGGAAGAATCCAGTGGCCTGAAGAAGAGGCACTTCTAGGGAACCCTAAGTCAAGGGTCACACCTGGGGGTCAAGGGTCCTGGGCAGCTGCAGAGATAGTATAAGGGATCTAAATTCAGGCACATACTAAATAATTACTATAAACTGAATAAATAATTTACCCCAAAATGCACTAGTGTTTTATAACAATATACAGGTGTGGAAAAAAGTAGGATTACAAGTGTGTTATTTATTTATTACTTACTATCTTTATTATTATTGATCTACTTTTGCTCACACCTGTATAATGTTGTATTTTAGTAATATGGCATCCAAAGCTATATTAATGCATTTTATTCATTTAAAAATGGTATTCAATTCGTAGTAGCTATTTATTATTATATATTTTTTTCAATCAGTGTATATTCAACTTACAACTACCATGGCTAGGGAACTTGATATTCAAAATGGGACTCTTCATACTGGAAAACGTTGAAACTCCTGATCCCGGCGATTAAATGGTTATTGCCTATTTGAAACGCACCAGTGCACCAGGGTGACATTTCTCTGGAAATGTCATAAGCAGCCCTGTGCACAAACTGTTTTACCAAAGGAATGAAGTGGGGGAGGGGTGTTGGCAAAAGTATATATCAATAGCCCAAACAATCTGACCATGATATACTTATTTTCTTAATACTGACATTATAGTTTCCTGTAAACATCTTGTAAATGTCAGATCGATTCCACTGGTGTGTTTATTTGACACTGCAAATTGAGATTAATAAGCCCATGGGCCATGATTCTGACTATTCTGAAGCCTGAATTGATTATAGTATTTTCTTTGCACAATGAACCAGGGGACTAATTTCACAATTATGGTAGCATAAGGACAGCGGAGGCTGAATAAGAATGTATTAGTAAGCACAGGCAAAGTGATTCAAGACAATGAAGGGCATTCAAAAACTGCATTAATAGTCCCCACAGTTAAGGGAAACGCAGAAGACAAGTATATATATTGTTTTTGTTTTTTGTTTTTTAAAGAACTAAGCAGGAGGCAATAGGAAGTAGGGGGATTCAGCCGAGATTGAATGAGTCTACACTTTATACATCAAGGAGGAGGTTAAAGAAAATGATATTGGGGACCAAGGTTGTAGCATTGGAGATAGCAGAAAGAACAGATCTCCTCACCATTCACAATGACCTGAATGTCCTTGAAGTTGATCTCCCCCCGTGCCAGGATCCTGCCCTCACATCGGTAAGTACCCTCATCTGTTTTCTTGATGTTCCGAATCTGCAGGTAGTTGTTGGACAGGACTATGAATCGGACTAGAAGAGACAAGAGGCAGGTCCATCCAAGGATCAGTTAGAGAACTTGTATCTGTAGGAAGGTCGCTGAGCCTTTCCCTTTTCCTAGCTTCAGTCTTATGGGGTGTTGCTTTAAGCTGAAATAAGAAAATGTGTCTCTGGCTTTGACATAGAGCCAAGACCAAATGCCTATTGTCAATTTGTCTCTTTCTTTGGAGAAAGTCCCTGAACATACAAGCTACAGACATATACCCATCTAGGATCTAAACTGCATGTGGTTCTGGAGTTTAGGTCAAAATGTCTCAGAGGCCAGCAGAGATGGAACTCTAGGGGACTTGGTGGCCCAGGAGAAGGCTGCTGCCAGGGAATCAGGTCTCACCATCTTTTTTCAGGATGACATCTCGGCCTTTGTGTTTCCAGATGATGGTTGGGGGTAGAGAGCTGACCACATCACACACGATCACTGCGTCTTCCCCCTCCCTGAATTCCTGGGGAGTTGGTGCATTCTTGAACATGAGCTTCTCTGGAAAATGAGCAAGAAAAGAATGAGGGAAAACAGCTGGTTTACCTACAAAGATCCTTTTCCACTGGAGCCAAACTGCCTGGATTCCAGTTGCAGGCAACTCTCAAGACATATATACAATGGAATAGAGAGGTTTCTACCCAGTACTTAGTCAAAGATGCCAGGTGGAGCAGCTGGCACAAGTAGGGGAATATGCTGTGGAAGTTTGGCAATCAATTTCTATCAATGAGTGCTACATTTATCACACTTTGTGCATGAAACATCTGTGGAGGGAAAGGAAGGTCTTTACCAGGGTCCCTTGCCATGTGGAATAGTGCCATTGAGACACAGTGTGTAAGTAGAATGAACTGGTAGAACACCTATTCTACAATGAACAGCAGGAGTTATCAATCCCTTCTCTGTCTCCCACTCTGTGTGGTAGTCCAACCTCAACTTTCCTGCAGCAGATAGAATTTTAAAGAATAGAACAGAAGAAAAGAAATAATGGCAATAAATACTGTGACAATCCATACTGTTCCTTTAGTGGTCACCTACCATTACACTGGCCAATGGAACAGAGGCATGATTACAAGGTGATGAGATGCCACCATCAGACCAAGTAGCAATTGTAGCTGCCTGTTCTGAGTGGAACGGTGTGTTCAAAGAGATAATATCCCCCTTACCCTCCACTGAGCTTTTTGACTCCATTACCAGCACGGGAGAGTGAAATAAGAGGGGATCCTAAATTGTACAACGGTTAGTCAATACTTGGGGAAGTGATGAGGCACCCATAATAGTTCTCTGGGAACTGTGTAGTTTGAATTTAGAGTTGGATGCCAGTGGGAGGTTGCTGTGACCAGCATGAACCCGAGTTGTGAGTTCTGAGTTGGCCCAGGATCATTTAAGAGCATATTGGAGCTCTTAGTACAATTCAGAAAATACTTAGGTTGAGGCAAGATGGAAAGAAGCCCTGTCAAGCCGTCAGATGGTCCTCTTTTGCCATCCCACTCTGCCTGCTGCCCATGTATCTTCCTGGCCAAAGACGAGGGCAAATATATAAGGAGGAGGAGGCTCTTACGGAAGATCTTCACGTTGACGGTGGCCTCTGACTCACTGCCGTCTTCGCCAGTGACCACACACTTGTAAATGCCGGCATCGTCAATGTCGGCGTTGTAGATGGTGAGGGTGGAAGAAGAGTCGTCATTCCATACCACTGAGATCCGCTGCTGGTTCGGGGTGAGCTTTTCTCCATTGGGGGAGAACCAGGAGATGTCTTTATCTTTGGCCTCCCCTGCCACTGAAGAGGAAGAGATTATTTTCGAACCACAGAAGTTAAAAAGATGAAGTCCTCTCATGGGTCACTGGTACTAAGTAAGAACTACCATACAGAGACCATCGGGCATAATGATTGGGAAGCATGACCATTTATGTAGAGTGTCACTCTGGCTTCTGTGTTGAACTATGATTACGTAACCCCAGCTATGATATTTGGAAGGGACTCAACAAGTACTGGTACCAGTATCTCATAGCAGTCCTATCGAGGAGATATTTGCTGAGGACCTACTGTGTGCTGAACACTCATCTAGGAGCTTACAGCCTCATGAATGAGAGTGGGGGGCAAAGGGAGTCAGCATATCTTGGAGTTGAGATCGAGGAACTAGCTGGTTTGAGCGAAGTGATCAGTTTGTGTTCAGAAGCTCAGATTGTGGTCTCTTGAGTGGAAGATGAGACACTGGTTAGCTAGGAGTGCAGACTCCAACTACTTTTATCCTAACATCTGCCTGCACAAACTGGCATGACTGGCATTCCAGCAGCCCTGACACAGACAGACACATTCATCTCCTACAATGCTGAGAAGAAGACAGCTAGAATCAGCCAAATGTCCTTTCCCCAGGCACTGAGGAGGGACAGATATTGCTGCTCAGCTGCCCCAGACACTGAGCTGGACCAGGGCTCTGGACCCGGCCACGTGGCTTCATCCAGCCCTCTGCACACGCCTCCCTAACACACACCACCATCCCCGCACATATGCTTGTTTTGGAAATGAAGCAGTCTTCCTCTCAGGACCCATTATGTTTTCAATAAATATCGCTATTTGCAAGATGTGCTGTGGGCTCCAGGCTGCATACCTAGATCATGTAAATTGCCAAAATGAAGGTGAAGCTGGAGTGAACGCATCCGGAGGCCGCAGCCACCTCACCCAATGCAATCAGGGTAACATTCCAAGGCCCCTCCTGCTGCAAGTGGCTCGTTAAATGTCCCAGTTTACACCTAGCTCAGCTTTTTCCTGTTTCCCCCACTTTCCAAATTCCAGGTGTATCACCTACAGATAATTCAAAGCTTAATGCAAAGCCTGATCCTCCACAGGCCAGCTCCTGGTAATTATCTGAGCTGTGGAAACCGGGCATAATTTCTAGAGAGAAAACAAGGACCCCAGCTCTGACAATCCTAGAGCCCTGGTGGGGGCAATGGGACAGAATATTGAATTCACAATGGACCTGGAAACCCAGGACACACATCCACATTGCAGAAGAGACACCAGTGCTCAATTTCCATTCAGGCAAGTTTGGCGCTTGGATGTTCCTGTTCTGGGGATTCTGAGAATAAGCCTCACACTGACTCACTGAGGCATCATTTCTTCCTCTGCTGTCAGTTACGGGCTCTGAATGTGTGCAGAGTGGAGGTTTGGAGCTGACTCACTCTTCTGGGAGTTGTGCTGACTCTCCCAGGAACATCCCCAGTGCTCCACCACCAAGTGCAAGTCCAGGTACAATTCCCTGTGCTGGGGCTGCCCTTGGAGAGGGGCCAGAGAGGGCCCGAGAGCATTCTTGGCTCCCAAGTCACACTATTGACCCTGCAGCAAAGCTAAACCAAGAATTCTGGGTGCGGTGTGTGCAGTCAGCACACAACCCATGGCTGTTGGTCTGCAGGGAGGATGCCCTGCATGCAGCAGGCCCTGGGCACTTGCCTTGGCATAAGAAGAACTTGGACTCTCCAACGCTGATTTCGCCCTGGCTGGGAACAATATCCACCTGCAGAGAAACTGAGAGAGAGGAAGTCCAGTTTAAACACACATTCACATTCCTAAGAATGAAAAAAGGAGCTTTCATTCAAAACTGGCATTTAGAGCAGAGGGAGAAGTTTGTTTGGGCTTTAAGAACCGGCCACCATCATAGACTCCACGGGTCCTCCTGTGGATTCCAGGAGTGGACATGGTCTGACCACTCACTGTGGCACTGCCACCTCTGCCTTCTAGTGCCAGGCGCCCTGGGAGGTCTGGGATGATCTCTGCACTGAGAGGTTCTGTACAGGCTATGGTTCTATTCCAACCAACAGCACTTCTGAGAGTCACGGACACAGCAGCTCAACAGCTACTTTTGGGACCTGGGGCTGTGTGAGAGGGCAGCCTGCAGCTCCAGAACTCCGCACAGGGGTCTCCTGCCAGCCTGTCACACTGCCATGCTTAGTGACTATGGAGAAGGACCCCACGGGGTGGCCCAAATGGATTTGGAAGTAGGAGGTGCCAATTCTCACCTTTCTCATGACTGGAGGACCAATGCATCTCTTTCCATAACAGGAGCCAGCATCACACATCCCCACCCTGATGAGTCAGACCCCCTTCTGAAATGCTGGCGCCTGTGCCCTGTTAAGTTCCCTGGGTACCCTGACAGCTTGACCTGAGTTTTTACTTGCATAGCCACGCGCTCCGTCATTGCATTCCATGGATAAGACAAAACACATTGTACTGGGTCTCAGATTCCTGTACTCATTCGGCTCCTTGTTTATCTGTTCAGGACAGATAACTGTATCCATGAAAATACAGTTTTAGGGCAGAAAGGAAATGTTTTTGTTCATTTGGGTTCCACTTCCTCCTGCCTCCTTTCCTTTTAGTAAATCTGACGGCCAACAGACATTTGGTTCAATGCATGTAGCTTCGCAAAGGAGCTTGGAAGAAACAGGCAGGGTAATACAGACCCCGTGAGCCCCTCCTTAGAACAGCCATTTTCCCTGCACAGTGGCGGTGGGAACGCTGGTTGCCATGGTGAAGCACTTGCAGGCAGAGCTGTCGCAGGTCTCAGTCTGCCCCCATTTGAAGAAGGGACCACAGTCATGCTCAGCTGAATGGAGGGATCAAAGGGCCTGAGTGGGGGCTTTGAAGGGGAGCATCTCAGCTATTAAGGGTAAGGCTTTCCTAACCTCCTACCAACAGACAAAGCAGACCATGGCACAACCCAGCAGGGGCAGCAGAGGAGGATGGCTTGGAGAAGACAGAGACCGAAAAGCAAAGGAGCCAGGATAAGGGGCAGAGTCAGGCACAGGGTCCAGCTAGGAGAGGATGCCGAACACTCCACTGTGAGGATAAGAGGCGGGGACTCAAAGACTGCCAACACTGGTTTGGAAGAAATATCACAGTGGTGGAGGGGCAGCTGGTCTCTCCCTCAGGTGGCTAGCTGCTGATTACTCATTGGGGGCTCAGGACTGAATTCTTCCTGAGAGCTGTGCAGTCTTCGCCTCCCTTCCCTGCTTGTCGCCCACAGCACACAGAACTGCAGTGGAACACAGGGTCAGACGAGGGACACTGCAGCCACGGCACCCGTGTGACTGGCTGGGCTGCTTCTCCCATCACTCTTGTCCCCATGGAGTCAGTGCCACTCAAGTCTACATTGAGGGAACCGGAAAGAGTCTCAGCCATCACCGTGTCCTGCCTCCTCATTTTCTGGATGAGAAAAGTAAGGTAGAGTGACTTCCTGAAGGTAACTTCCAGGTAGGGCCAGGGTGACCCCAGAGCCCAGGCCACCCGGATTTCAGCTCAGTGTTCTTTCTACTGTGCAATGCTGCCTCTGCAAGTAGAGGCTGAACTGTTTCCATTCAAGTTAACAAGCAACCTGGCCAACCAGGGGAGCAACCTGGCCCTCTGACTCACCACCTCCTACCAGACCAGAGCGAGCTCAGAACGAACAGGACCCGCAGTGCTTTAGGCAATAGCACAGTGCCATCCACCTTAAGGGCAAGCAGGACCTTTTTTATCCCCTTCTGGAGCTCAAATTCTAAGGTACAAGAGGCCTATGAAGCCCAGATGCTATGCCCAGGCCATCCGCCTCCTTTGTGCTTCCCCAGGGTACTCGCTCGGGCACTGGAGGCTATTTCTGCCCGCAGAGTTCACAGCCCACGTGCTGAGCCCCGCAGCCAGCTCCCACATCTGGATCTCATTACTCTCACAGAACCTTTGCTGCTCCGAGAAGAATATTCTTACGCCAAGTGAAAAAACAGCCTTCTTCTTCTTCTTCTTCTTTTTTTTTTTTTAAGCTCTTTTGAAACAGAACATGACTCTCAGGGGGCCGGAGAACATGGCAAGGCTGAAGGCTTTCTTACTCAGATGTGGCTGGTGTCTACCTCTGGGCCGTGGTGGGAAATGAGAAATAAGAATTTCAAAGGAATTCGTACTCTAGCAGATCCCATGCACACATTTGTCACCACAGACATTTTTAAAGGAGAAAGATCCATGTAGAATCCTGACCCTTTGAGCTCATGGAAAAGATGGTGAGATTCCTCCTTTCACAAAGCAGTGCCAGCTGGGCCGGAGGAAGCCCAGACTCTGAATGTGTTCCACTGCCACACATGCCGGTTCTTCCTCCCCAAATGCCACTGTGAATGATCAGGTTTAAAGAAACAGCTTCAGGTGTGGATAGAAGTTTTCTAACTTCCAACTCCCATAGCAGAGGCTAGCTATAGAGTTTTAGTTGCTAAAGAAAAGGGAATTCATGCTTCAGTTAATAATTTTAAGTGGAACTCCTGCTCCAACCTGCAAAATCCCCTCCGCTTCCTTTCTTTCTATTAGTTCTTTCATTGTTTCCAATGAAACTTGTTAACTTGTACCCTTCTCTAGTTGCATATATGAATGAAATTTTCGAATCAGGCGTAACTCTTACGTTAAAGAAACTTATGAAATAATTTCTCCCAGAAAAATATCTCATCCCCTACTTTGTATTAACATTGCATGTTGGGCCCATCTTCCTGCAGCTGCTTCACACTCTCTGGTTTACCAAAGACACTTCCTTATTTAATCTGATGTGCACAATAGTTCTGAGATATAAAAAGTCCGATATTGTTTCCTTTCTATAAAAGAGGAAATTAAAGTCATCTCAGAAAAATGAGATGACTTGTCCAGGGTAACACAGCTAATGAGAGTAAAGTCAAGATTAAAAGTCATTTAATTTTAAGGCTAGCTCTTTCCCACACTGCACAACTATTATGACCTTCTGTTGGCCACCCAATAGTATTCTTTTCTTTTCTTTTTTTAAATATATATTTTATTGATTTTTTTACAGAGAGGAAGGGAGAGGGATAGAGAGCTAGAAACATCAATGAGAGAGAAAAATTGACCAGCCGCCTCCTGCACACCCCTATTGGGGACGTGCCCACAACCAATGTACATGCCCTTGATTGGAATAGAACCTGGGACCTTTCAGTCCACAGACCGATGTTCTATCCACTGAGCCAAATCGGTTTCAGCTAGTATCCTTTTCTATTCCTTATTATTTGCTCTCTTCCCAAATTATGGGCTAGAAAGAGCAGAGTGCACAGAAATCTTATAATCAAGTTGCTTTTATCATTTTTACCATGGTTAACTGTAACTGGCCTCCTTGCTCACAGATAATCACAGCATTACTAGAGACTCGATGCATGAATTCATGCATGGGTGGGGTCCCTCAGCCTGGCCAGCAATCTTGGCTGATTGGGGCTGTCTCGCCCAGTCCTGATCAGGGCCGATTGGTGCTGGCCGACTGGGGAGATGGACCTTGGGAGGTTGGTCAGCTGCGGGAGGTTGGTTGTGAGAGGGTACTGATCACCAGGGAGAAGCTCCTGCATTGAGCATCTGCTCCCCTGATGGTCAGTGTGCATCATAGCAACTGGTCAATCAGTCGTTCAGTCAACCGGTCTTAATGGTCACTTAGGGGAAGTAGGGCTTCAGAGCCAGAATTAATTGTAATGGAGGAGTTAAGAATCAAACCCAGGATGAATGGAGAGGAAGGCCCAGCCATTTTTATCCCTGTGAACAGACAGAAAAAAGATTCTCCTGAGATTGAAATGTTCCCCTTGTCTCATTTAGAAAGTAAATTACCCTGTGGGAGAGTTTTATGTTTTAAGATGTATTTTCTGTTTAAATGTCTTTTTTTTTTTAAAGATATAATATTCTGAAAGATATGCTGACTTGTTTATTAGGAAATAACTTTAGCTGTGGATAAAAGTTTTATAACTTCCAACTCACATAATAGAAGATAGTTATAGAGTTTTAGTTGCTAAAGAAAAGGGAATTCATGTTTCAGTTCGTCAAAGATGCTAAGGCACTTATCAGGATGGGAGGGAGTCTTACAAAGGCAAAGCGACAGGAAAACATTATTCTGATTTTAGAAAGGGGTTCACAGGTTTCCCTGGAGTCAGCAACTTCTTGCAGCAGTTTATTGTCCTGGTGTCCTTTCCAGGTTCTAATGGGCTTGCGGAGATGGAAACTGAGAGCAGGAAGTGAACCCAGGTCTCTGTCCAGCTGATTCAAAAGACTTTCTGTTAAACAGTTACAAAAACGGCTGCTGAGGAAGACAGAGAGCAGCCGTGCCGAGGGCCAGGGCAAGGCAGGCACACCTGAGGCAGAGGCCTGGCCACAATACCAGAGACAGGCCAACTAGATCAGTGGCTACACACCAGATGAGGGGGCATTCTAGAACCTTTGGGCTCATGGAAAAGATAGTGAGATCTCAGATTAGCTAAGGATTTCTGAAAAAAGGATTCAAGTTTCACTATATGTTTATTTGGTAAGCTATTATTCTATTGATACAAGTGAGCCTTAAATGTCACTTAACCACTTTAACAAAGTAAATGGAATGCTAGTGGCTCTTTCATTTGGAAAAGGCAGATGTCTGCACCAGGAGGGTCATGACTGAGGCAGCCCCACTTGTGGGCAACAGTTTGCTCTCATTGGTAGCAAACTGCTCAAGGGAAAAAGGGCAACTTCACTGCTAAAGCAGCCAAACTCAAGGAAAAGTA